GACTACTTTCATGGAAGGTATGCCAGAGTACTCCTAGCACCAATACCTCTAAAAATTTATGTAATGGTTATGGTGTTTGAGTGTTCCTTGAACCCAGAGCAAGGATGGGCAAAAGATAGATCCCCACATGTTGAAGAACTAGAACTGCCATGATGCTTTGCCAGCCTTTAGAATGTCAAAGCACCATGAAAGTTGCAGTCCTACAACATCTGGTGATCTAACATTTGCTCAGCCCTAATCTAGAGAGCGAGGGTTTCAATCCATGCCAGCTGGGCAGCTAGCGTATGCAGAGTGAGGGTTTCAAGCACTGCCAGCTAGGCAGGTAGCATATGCAGAGTGAGGATTTCAAGCACTGCCAGCTAGGCAGCTTGCGTATGCAGAGTGAGGGTTTCAAGCACTGCCAGCTGGGCAGCTTGCGTATGCAGAGTGAGGGTTTCAAGCACTGCCAGCTGGGCAGCTTGCGTATGCAGAGTGAGGGTTTCAAGCACTGCCAGCTGGGCAGCTTGTGTGTGCAGAGCAAAGGTTTCAATCAGGGGTGTGGGACATGGATACAACCCACTAGCCTCAAGCAACTGGCCTATAGTCTTGGGAACTGAGCTCCCACACCTGTCTCTATAGGATCTACAGCTGGACCGGTACATGCATTTGACAGATGCTATCTGGGAAGACCGACACCCGAGAGTCATCAGGAAAAGCAGGGAACATTATTTTTTATTTCATTTCTCCGCTTAGTGCCGCATGACATAGTTAATTTGTGTAGTAGAAGAGGGGTTTGCAATGGCCTGCACAGAAATTATGTCATGTCATATCCCACCACTGTCTCTCTAAAAGGCTGTGCAGCACGATCGTCTTTCATTATATTGCTAGAGATGAAAACCTAATAAAAGGAAAGGTGGCGTTTCAGTCATATTTGTGAACAGTTTATATTGACTCTTATTTGCACGATACGTCACTAACAAGGTATTGGGTAGTATGAGGTATTAACAGAGGACATCATTCTCAATCTTGCTCAGTAATTCTTTTGCATTGATTAGGTTTATTCTATTCTAAAGTGTGAACTGTCAGGATTTCACAGTGAATGTCCACAATGAACATACTGGTCAGTCGGTTCTATAATCAGTTTGGCTATTTTACCCTAAAAAATCAAATTAACTTAAAACTTACTTTCGATTCCCAACAATACGCTCTATAGACTGTAAACTCATTTGAGCAGGGCACTCTTCAACCTATCGTTCCTGTAAGTTTTTGTAAATGTCTCTGTAACGGGCGGTTTTGCCCAAAAGAGGTAAAAAACGGTTAAGGCGATATTCCCCTTTTTCAGCTGCACCGACAGCTACTGCAAGCACCAATCTCCTGAACTGCAAACCCACGAATTCACCAACTCCCTGACTGCAACCAAGGGAATACTCGAAACTCCCGAACTGGAGACACACGAATAGCTGCTAGCAGACGAACAGGAAAAGCCCCCAAGCGGCTTACACTCCTGGCAATCAGTCTCTAACAGCATACAGTAAATCCTCCCCTAATAATGAGACAAAACTTCACTTTGAGGGTTAAGCAGGAACTGATTTACTGGGGCTAACTGCCCGGCTTTTATGCAGGTCTCCCATCTGGTGGACACTCCCCTAGGGGACCAAATGGGAGACTGGGACACAAAGGGTAAAAGGACCAATCACAGACTTACACATTTCAACCATCCCACAATGCATCACAATCCCTCCTCTCTGCCCTGGAGATAATTGGGAAGTAATTCAATTATCTCCAAAGACAGAGGAAAAACTCCATTAATCACATGGCAGAAAACAAACAGTAAAAGACATAAAATTACCTACAGTTTCATTCAGTACATAAAACATATACGTTCTACATATCCCCAGATAGCTCAGGTCTGAGCGCACATTATTAAGCGAATGGCGCTCAGACCACACGAATACAGTTTAATCGCCATGGAGCCAAAGTCTTTACACAATCAGTTTCATGCGAATGGGCTCCATGGGATTCCTATCTGGGGCACAACACACTCAAACAAAACTACTGAACACCGGGCCGTTCGTGCACTTTCACCGAACAAGAAGGGAGGTCGGCGGCTTCAGCGGTGTTAACGAAAAACTGTGTCCGATTTCAGTTCCATTAATTAAGCGTCGAACACCGCTGTGCATTCGCATGTTTAAAATGGCCGCGACCTCGTGTTCGTGATACGAATGACGGCCACCCAGCATTCGTCAATTAAGCTGCGGTTAACCGCAGCTTCAGGGAGGTTATTTGCCGGCACACTCCAGCTCCCAGGTGGTCTATTCATTCATGCGGTTGTTCGGTAGATTGAATCTACCGAACACCCGGCAGAAAAGCACGAATAAGTATTTTCTGCAGGGAAAAAAGATGTCTTTTAACATGGGGCCATAGTCCAAAGGCAGCAGGCGAGCAACCAGGCTTCTCCAGTGTACAGTGGTGAGGTTGGTTTCGCCACAGTCTCATTTATTGTTAAATCTCCCCCTTTGATAATATTGTAAAGTGTTACTAAATATATTCTGGCGCTATATAAATACCAGTAATAATAATAATATAGTGAATGATCATTTGTGTGTACAGGAGACCAGGAATTGAGTATGAGATTTCAGCCAATCACAGAATCTTGCTTACAGCAGGTTTCGTGGGAGGAGAGTTGCTTTATTTACAGTAAAAGAGTACATTCAGAGATTCACATTTAAATACAATTTTTTGAAGCAGGCTTTGCAGTGTCTCTGTTTAATTAGCGCATAATTATCCATTTGTTGTTGTTCTACTCTTCCTTCACATTTTAAACCCTTCCGCTGTTATTACCTGACCAGTTCTATTTTTGGAATAGCCTAGATAAGATTTTAAGGTCAATCCTAATCTTATTTCTGTTGTACAGGACATGTTTAGTAAATAATCCACTGGTGGGGGTTTAATTCCTGTTTGGGCTGTTTACCTGTATGTAAACCTGTAACAAATCTGTAATAGGCTGAACTGCAACAATGCTTCTACAACGTTCGTATTAATACTACAAAGGTTTTTGTGTGTTTTTTCCTAAAAGTGAGCGAAATCCTTATTTTAAAACTAGCCATACCATTTGTGCTAAGAAACTGTGACTTTAAGGGAGTATAACATGAATTTCCATCTTTAAGACAAAATAACTAAAATAATTTTTCAGTCTGGCTATTTTGGTATAAATTTAAAATTCTCTTTAAATTTCCTCATAATTCAAACTTTAGTGGATTACAATGAACAAATAAAATATGGATATTAATGTACATGGCGTCTCTGATAATCTAGTTTGTAATAATAAAATATATATGTAGTCTGAGAATCTGCCCTATTAGCAGTGTCATATACCATTCTCTACTCACTTAGACAGCATAGTACTCACACCTGGATTATTGTGGTCTCTTACAGAGCCTGTAAATTCAACAAATAGCAACTTCAACAGACAGATTTTATCCTTATTATCGTGGACATTAACAAAAGGTAAAATAACCAGCTAGCTAGAATACTGCCATTTTTATACATGCACCGTGAATTACAGGAAAATGCAATCAGTTAGCCCTTTGTGACTACTAACATTAATAAATGTGAGTGAAACCATAAAAGTTTGATCAACTGTTGGGAATGTGCTGTCCATCTCATGGCTATAAAAATAGGCCTCTTTGTAACTTAAAGGAAACCTATAGTGCTTGGAAAACAAAGTTGTTTTCCTAGCATATAGTGACCTACAATGTCCCCCTCTCTCGCACCCCCACCCCCCTCCATGGCCCTGTAAATAAGTTAAAAACCCTTCTGCCACTTACCTGATCGAGTGCCACTTTTGCATTAGGACTACCCCATTGCTCAATACTTTCCTATGGGGTTTTAGATGACTCTGGATGTCCTCATGCAGAACGTGAAGACGTTAAGCATCAGGTGCCAAAAGTAGTCTTCGGACGTCCCTCTAGTGATTGTCTGGGTGCCTATAGTGTCCCTTTAAAGTGACATTATAGTCATCAAAACAACTTTAGCTTGATGAAGCTGTTTTCAACACTTTTATGGATGTTCTTGTTTTATCAGATGCTTTATTAATGCAATGATATGTATAAAACGTCCTGGGGGCAAATTACTACATATGCTACTGCTAAACTGTATTCCATGAAACACAACATGTGAAATAGGGTTTAAAGTAAAACCCTGTTAATATATCTTCTTCTTTTTTTTGTTTTTGTTTATTAACTAATTATTAAATTATAGTCTATTGATAAATCTATATTTCAGCTGATATGTATTCAGCTATAGTAGAAATAAAATACATTTAAAAAGTGGTTTATGTGTCCAAATGAACTTGATTTGAATTAATTATATCTTGAATTTAATTATGTATTTATTTATTTTTGGGTATAATTAATTTAAGGGTATATTAAGAAGGGTAAGTTTGTTTGGACACACAAACCATTTTCATAAAATATTTTTATGTTGTATTGTTTCACACAATTCACTTTATTAAATGTATAATTGAAGGATGTATACACGCGTGGTTAAAGTGTGATTCATTTTATTAAGCCATCATGTTTTTTATTATGGTGATGGAGATAAGAAGTAGTATTTAAATAGTGACTAGAATAGAAACGTGAAGTTTTGTTTTGTATTGATATTTTAGGTTATATCATATGATGGTTATGATAAGGAAAGAAACGTATTTTCATATACAATAAAATCAGCTTTGGACTCACCATTGAGTGCCCAGAACTTGGTCTTTGTTCCAATTCAGCTATAAGTTACAGCATGAATTTTGCAGTTCACCTCTATTCACTCTATTTATTGAATAAACCCCAATCGTGTCATTTAAGGAAATTACTGCGCATATATTAAATTAAACTAGCAGTTATAAAATAAACCCAAGGCATTCTCAATAGGAATGTGAAATATTTTTTTAAACAAATTTTATTTGGCCACAGTTCACATAAATAAAGCATTCAAAAGGATGGAATGTTTGAAATGTTTGTGTTGTATTCCATTAAATTTGTTAATGGGGAAAAAAAATGCTTGAACCCGTGGGAACAATTGAGCTAATTCGCAGCACAGCTGGGATATGAGCATTGTATGTGCTCTCAGTGAAGAGTCTTAAGGTCTTTACAGTCATGAAAATAGAGACAGAATAAGAGAGAGGCTTATGATAATCATTCGGTTCATAGCAGTAATTGAATTACAGACATTTGGGACACGACCGTTCAGCTCTAATGGTTCTGCTTTGCAACATTTTAATTTCTGCCTGAATTTGCTTATTTTATTGAATCGGCACCTGTCAGGTGACAAACAAACACCATGGAGCAGTCTAAAGATTTGACAAGCTAGAAAGGTAGGCGCAGATTGAGAAACTCAAATCTTTTTTTTTTTTCTCTGCTGAGCTGTACGTATAAGTTGGATTTGCCGAGAGATGACAGGACTTCAACAAGGTGTTCCACAGCCCAAAAATATCCCCGAAATTAATGAGAGTGGGACACTATGGGGGAGTCCATCAGAGCCTTGGAATTCTGAGATACCCACTGTGCATGTGCAAGGAACAGACCCACTGTCTGAGGAATACAGTGAAAATCAGAGACTGTTACAACGTTCTTCCAGTTTCGGAAAAACTGTCAAATTTCTCTTGCCTCCCATTGTCATTGAGGATAATGTGCTTGAAGACGAAGAGTTACAATTTTTCCAGGAAGTCAAAGAGGTTATGGGGCCTAAAGGTTCTGGGTTTAATGATCTGTTTAGCTTAGATAAGTGGATAGACATCACAGGTATGTAAAATATTTCAAATTTATAGTTTAAGGATTATTGCTTAAATAGTATATTTTAAGTGGTCAAACATATGTATGTATAGCGTAATCCTGGCAAAATTTGTAAAAATGACCAGTTTATCTGATAATTATACTTTTTGCAACTTTGTCCCACAAAAATAATCTCTCTTCATAACCTTGACAGTCAATTATTGTATTATTATTTAAGGAAATTATTCAAGGCATAACAAGACTGGAATAACATTTCTGGTAAAGATCAATCCATACTAAAATTGAATGAGTACAATACTGGGGAAAAAAATTTATAAATCGTTTTTTGTTTTTAACGTATTTCTTGAAAGTGTTGCACAAGTACACCTTGAAGAGATTTTTAGCTAGAAATCACCAGCTTTAGGTTGTTGAGCAGTCATGTGACCTTTCTCTCCTCAAAGAGAAGAGACTGATGCACCACAGCTGACTCAGAAGTTCTTTAACTGGCATTTCAATTTGCAATCTGCATGCAGGAAGATGAATATGATTTATAATTAATGCTGGCATTTCAGTGTCCCTTTGCTCCCTATCTTTGGGGGGTGAGGGGTGGGCAAGAGGTGTCTGGCCAAAACAAATATGCTAATGGTGGCTGATGACCCCAGGCTGAGACCCAGCATTTAAGGATGCTCTCAGTTATAATCACAAACTAAAATGCTGCTTATATTATAAATCCCTTCATCTCCTATAACTCTGCTCACATGCCAGTGTTGCCAGTGGCTAAGCTGCGTACGTACAGGAAAGTGAGAATGTGGGAGTGGCTAAGGGGGTAGGTGTCTAGTGCTAAAAGCTCAAAAACATATCTATGCTATGTGCGAAGACTATACACATTTGAGCATGCAAACAAATACTGCATGCTATTCAGCCCAAAAGCGATCGGATGCATTAAAGTTTTGTTTTCTCTTGTGCGCTTTCAAATACTCTCTGTAAGTGAAATGTTCATATCATTATATAGCAGTACATTTAAAGCAATAGATGGATCAATTGTGTTATTTTAAAAATTTTGCCTCCTCTGGTATAAGATTGATTGAACTATCTTATTTTTCCTCTGCTGAGCTGTACATATAAGGTTATTTACTGATAAGTGGGGAAATATCCTTTTTTTTTTAACCCCTTAAGGACACATGACATGTGTGACATGTCATGATTCCCTTTTATTCCAGAAGTTTGGTCTTTAAGGGGACATGTCCCAAAATCTGCTGCCCAGTTTATTATTATACAGGTACTCCTCACTTACCAACCGGGTTCCGTTCTGGTCGTAGAACGTACGATCTGGTCGTAGAACTAAATGGTCAGTAAGTGAGGAATTAAGGGATTCACAGCTCTGGTGCGCTTGTCTATGTTTGGGGAAATTTCCCCGAACATAGACGAATGCACTAGAGCAGGGCAATTTTCTAATCTATGCTCAGGGAAATGTTCTCAAACATAGATGAACTCAGCAGATCAAGCAATCTCTCTAATTCCTATGTTGGATCGCACTTACCACCCCGCGAGAGAGCTGGTCGTAAGTGCGAGCCATCGCAAAACAAGGTCCACCTGTATTTTAAAGTTGTACATATGTAAAAGTGGAAACGACTTTTTCTTATGTATAATTTCAGGCTGACAAAACTTGACAAAGGGTGGAGGTTTAGTGAAGCTCCATGGCCGTTGTCAGCTTTGTGATTTGCTGTACACACAGCTTTTCAGAGTTGCATCACTGACATTCTGTGTTTACTCTAGCACAATCGCGAGAATCAACATAGGTCCACTGGAGGCCTTGAGGATGCGCGTTATCTGTCTCGCATGCTCAAGGAAGGTCGGAATATGTACTTCCTGGCCAAAAGCATCTTAGGAACACAAAGATAGCCAACTTTGGAAAAGGTTGCCCCGGTCCCATATCTTTTGCAAAATCCTGAAGCCTTTTCAAAAACAGTTTTGCGATACAGCATATTTTTATATTCCCACAAAAAATTCCTACTAGTAAATCTATTGGGAACTGGTAGTAAAAGCACATGATGAGATGTGTATAAATGCACCTGATAAAAATTTTTATTGTTATCTTAAGTAACAAGTTTGTTATAGATTATATGATTTGTTTGAGATTTTTAATCACAAAAAGAACAAAGGCTAAGCACCTTTATAATAATTAAAGATCCCAAACTAACGACAGTAAGCAAAGAGGAAATATAAATTCTATACATGTTAAATATAGTTATATATTTTATGGTGATTTCATTTTTTTGTTTCTCAATATTCTCCATTTTCAAAGCAAGGAGCTAAATATTGTTATTTATGAAACATCTCTTATGTACATCTCTATACGGATATGCAAATTAGTTTCCGATTTTAGGTAAATAATTTGATGTTGGATGCAATTGGTATAATTACAAATTCTAGGAACCCTTTAAATGAAATACTGATATATATATGTATAACATAGCAGTGTGTGCATTATTTGCCGGTGTTATTGGCCAGCTGAGGAAACAATGGGGGTTTTTAATAAACGCATGTTCATATCTGGAACATTTTCTTCTGAGCAGGGAGTGTGCTGTGCATTAAACATCCAAATCAGAAATTTCCTCCACTAAAAAACATGTTCCTATTCCTTTTTTTAGTATTCCCACTTGACCAGGAAATAGACACATCCACCTCATAAGATGGAGGTGGAGGACTATTCATGAATAGTGAAAAATGGACAAACTATAGACCAAAATAGCCAAGCTAAAAAATAAAAAAAACTTGGCTATTTTTCCCAACTTCCACATTAGCTCCATCCAACTTATAAGTGCAGTGATAGGCTGAGAGTGCTGACGAGAGGCTAATCCAGAGCTCTAATCCTATTACCGATGGCCAAAGTTTAAGAACATAATTTAGAAGTTTCCTCACTTACTAAAATTTTTGGCCTAAAAAAAATTCTAACATCCATCTCCTTCTCCTGCTACTATGGCCCTTCATTTCCTGTGAATAACTGTGACCGTTTAGCTATTTAGAGGCTATTAATAATTAAATTGAATAATGAATATTGATATTGGTGATATAATGAAAATGATGGAGCCTTGTACCCGGAACATGAGTGTTTCAGATGTAAAGTCTGATTTAAATAAGCAAATGATCTGATCCAGATTGTGAAAAGGTTGTATTTAATATTCATAGCTGATACTGTCACAGCTTAAGCAGCTGGTTAAACCCCTAGTAATCCATAAGAAGGGAATTTTTTTTTTTTTTTACATAATTCCCTAATGCAGGATGGTAAGGAGAGATTATAATATGAAACTGATTTTATTCTGGGTACATCATTAGAAACAGGGGGAAAAAAGGAATAACATATGCAAACTTCATTAGTAAAAAAAAGTATTATAATGTTATGTTTTGCCCTTTTTAGAGGCATCTTTTTAAGAAGGAAAGGGATTGTGGTACTGATCAAAGTCAGAAGCCAATTTAATTTAGCATAAGAAATAATGTCACCTATCCATTTCAAATTTTCTACAAAGTCTTCCTGAGATTAATAGCTATCAGGCTCTGCTCCGCCATGTAGGCACACGGCACACTTAGGTTCTAACTTACATTATTACATTCCTTCATATTGTTTGTTACCATAAAAGAACACTCCAAAATCATAACCACTACAGTGTGCCTTAGTGATTATGGTCTTTAGAGTGTTCCTTTAAAAGTGTGGTTGTGATCTCCGTTTTCAGAATAAGATAATACAAACTATTATGTTGGTATTTTTCTCAACGCTTTACTCTTTTTGAGATTTAACAATTTAGCCTGTTTTGTTTAACCCCTTAAGGACCAAACTTCTGGAATAAAAGGGAATCATGACATGTCATGTGTCCTTAAGGGGTTAAAGGGACACTATAGTCACCAAAACAACTTTCACTTAATGATGCAGTTTTTGTGCATTGATCATGCCTCTGAAGTTTCGCTGCTTAATTCGCTCTCATTTAGGAGTCAAATCACTTGTTTATGTTTATGCAACCCTAGCCACACCTCTCCTGGCTGTAACCGACACAGCCTGCATGAAAACAAATAGTTTCATTTTCAATCAGATTTAACTTACATTAACCCCTTAAGGAAGGCGGGTGTACTATGCTGTTCTTGGGGACCCGGCTCTAAACGCCGGCGGGCGGCATAGTACGTCCAGGGGACTTACCTGCTCGGAGTGTGCTGTGCATTAAACATCCAAATCAGAAATTTCCTCCACTAAAAAACATGTTCCTGTTCCTTTTTTTTAGTATTCCCACTTGACCAGGAAATAGACACATCCACCTCATAAGATGGAGGTGGAGGACTATTCATGAATAGTGAAAAATGGACAAACTATAGACCAAAATAGCCAAGCTAAAAAATAAAAAAAACTTGGCTATTTTTCCCAACTTCCACATTAGCTCCATCCAACTTATAAGTGCAGTGCAGATCCCCCACTGGCGATCGGTATGGGGGGACTTGCCTGGCATCCCAGGCAATCCCCCTGTTGCCGATTCGGCCTTCCCGGGCCATGTGATCGTGAAAACCTCACAATCACATGGACGGAATAGCCATCAATAGCAGTGCCAGCAGGGGGACTGCCAGGAATGACAGGTAGTCCCTCTGCTGCCTGTAATAAAGTTCAATAAAGGTTAATAACAGTGAAAAATAAAATAATATATATACTTAGATTATATACACATATATATATATATATATTTGTGTTAAGGGCTCATGATAGTACAGAAGATACAAACACTGATAAGTATGGGATAGTGTGAAAGAGCAAGTCGGTTGTGGTGTGCCGGAACCGACGATGAGGTAGGCCTGTAAATAAAGAGGGCCCACCAATAAGAAATGTATGAGAAAAAGGAGTTAATAAAAGAGGAGTGGGTGGGAGGGTGATGCAGCGCTGACCTCGAACGGTATGGAGCCAGGTAAGGGGTGTCCCTTAAGTAGGGAGAAGGTGAGTCATACGCCCCTCCCACAATTACAGGCCAAAAGGCCTTAATACTTGTGTTAAGGGCTCATGATAGTACAGAAGATACAAACACTGATAAGTATGGGATAGTGTGAAAGAGCAAGTCGGTTGTGGTGTGCCGGAACCGACGATGAGGTAGGCCTGTAAATAAAGAGGGCAAAAAGTAGAAAATATACTTTATTACGAAACGAGCAGTATACATACTTCAACCAGACATATCTTGAAAGGCATTTCTAACTTCTTGTACCGGGTTAGGTATGTATCTAGAGTATGCAGAAGACTTCCAGCGCCCTAGTGACTTGATAACATGTACTGGAATGTTTGCACTGGATGCTGTGGAGGCCGCCCCTATGCGGAAGGAGTGGCCCGAATAGTTAGCTGATTTTAGTCCTAGTTGTGTAAGTAGGGACCTGACGTGGGTCATGAAGGTGGTGGTAGTGAGTACCGAACCTTGTAGACAGAAAAGTGGTTGAGATGGTGATGCTTTGAAATGCTGAGTATAGGTGTCCAGTAATGTGACGGGGCACCACACGTTGTGGGTAGGATAGTATCTAACCTCTACCGGGGGTGCGTGTTGATTGGTTTTGGAGTGATGCAGAGTTAAAATATAGTAATCCATGTGTTTCGTTAAGTGTGAATGAAGCAGAATGTGAGTGGACTGGGATGTGTTGATGGCGGTAAATTCTCTTGGTCTCAAGAAACCATAAAAGCTACGTATATGGCGGTTTTTATAACAAGGTTTGTGTTGTTCGCAAAGGGTTTTGAATCTAGTAGGCTGGATAAATCCTTGAAGATATTGAAGTCTATAGGTAGCCTTTGCGCGGTACGTGGGGGTTCGGATCTCTGGATACCTCTAAGGATGTTTTTTATCTGGTAGGAGGACATGAAACTTGTGTTGTTTGGTTGTAATGTTAGCATGTGATGTTGTATGCCTGTTAGATATAGCTTGATTGTGTTGTAAGATAATTTAAGTTTGAGGTGGCAAAAAGAAGCAAAACCTAACAAAGATGTCATGATGAAAGGTTGTGTGACGTTGTGCAGTGACAGGAATCTTTTAAATAGAAGGAAAGCCCTGTCATATGTTCTCCGGGTATTGGTGGACAGTGCTAATTGTGCCAATGTCCTGCTATGTTGCATAATAGCTTCTAGTCCATGACTAGCTGGTGGAAAGGTGGAGTGGTCGTGGCTGTACGTGCGGCTGACGGAAGTATTTGCCGAAAAGCCTGAAAATTGAAACGAGACAAATTGTCAGCAGCCGTGTTACAAACACCTGGGACATGGACACAAAACAAGAAGAAATTATGGCATGCAGCCAGCCAGGTGAGTTTCCTCAAGAACCTCATAATGGTCAGTGACTTGGATCGGCCTTTGTTTATGATGTGGCAGGTAGCTTGGTTGTCTGAGTGGCAACGTACTGACGAACCTGCCCATAGATGCCCCCATGTCACGGCAGCTGCCACAATGGGATACATCTCAAATAGAGCTGAGGTAGTGGAAAACCCTTCCAGGTCCTGTACCTCTGGAGGCCAGCTACCCCAAAGCCATTCATTCCCGTAAATTGCTGCAAAACCTGTGGTAGACGCCGCGTCTGACCAGATGGTAGGTGAGGAGTCAGACAATTTAGGGAGAAACATGCTTTTCCCATTCCAGGTGGTCAAAAAGTTTCTCCACATAAGTAGGTCTGCCGTGGCTTGGGTATCCAGTGGTAACCTGTGTGCATCATGTCTAAACAGTGGGAACATGGTTAGGAGCCGTGAGATGAAAGCCCGGCCTTGAGGTATAATGCGCATGGCAAAGTTCAGTGACCCAAGTAGAGACTGCAATTCTTTGCGATTGCAAGTACCGAGGTGTATGTAGAGGTTAATGTTGGTGAGAATGTTCTCTATCTTGGTGCGTGGCAGGCTGGCTTGCATGGTGGCTGAGTCTAGCATGATTCCCAGAAAGGTGATGACTGTATCTGGTCCTTCAGTTTTGGTGGGGGAGACTGGAACACCCACCTGTTTAAAAAGACTGATGGTTGCTATGAGGCTACTGGGAGGGGAAGTGTTCTCTTCGATCAGTAAGAAATCATCCAGGTAGTGTATAACTGTAGGGCATCTGGCTACATTTAATAATAACCAGCATAATGTTTCGGCGAATACGTCAAAAATGCCCGGACTACTTTTTGAACCAAACGTTAGGCGTGAGAAAAAGTAGTAGTGCCCGGCCCACTTAATGCCATGCAGGTGCCATAGTGTAGTGTGGATAGGCAATAATTTGAAGGCATTTGTAATGTCAGTCTTGCTGAGCCATGCTCCGACCCCTGCCTGCATGATAGCTGTAATGGCGTGATCTATGGTGGAGTATTGAAGTGAAAATTCCTCAGAGGGGATAAGGGAGTTCAGACTAGGTGAGGCAGAGGTGTGAGGTGCAGACAGATCGATGATAAGTCTTTGTTTGTGGGAAGATTTCCCTGTGACAATACCGATGGGGTTTGTCCGCCATGTGGAAAAAGGAGGGGACTGAAAGGGTCCCAATAGGAAGCCCTCTGCCACTTCTTTGGCTATGAGTGTGCTAACCGCTGTAGGGTTTTGTTGTGCAGATTGTAAATTAGGACATTCAAGGATTCCTGAAGGCATGTGTATGAGACCAGTATGGAATCCTTGTGATAGACCAGTGATGATGAAGTCTACCAAATGTCTAGATGGATGTCGTGACAGTAATGCCGTGAGTACAGAAATATTTATCTCAGTTAAGTATTGCTTAGGGTACATTTTATTTGGACACATGGTTTTCGCATGTGCCCTAAAACATTTTGAACATATATGCAATAACCGACAACCGCTGTAATTACATGCACCGACATTGAAATTATTACATATTTGGGACTTCCCCAAAAACTTGATAGGTCGACCCAGTTTGTCTTTGGGTGTTCTCTCTGCTGACACAGCGGAGCTAGTGCCCTGCGAGGTGGTAGGTTCGTTCGCAGTGGTCGGACAAAAATTGGCAGTATGAGCCATGGAGGAGCAGTGTGCACAGGCCGGTGCTCTTAGACCTGCAAAGTGCCTGCAAAAATGATCGTATCAATCTTACTCCAGTTGGACCTTGTCCCGTACTGTGAGAAGGCGCCAGACACTTTGGCAGAAAAAGATCTATGGTAGTCATAGAAAGCTGACCCACCATATTTGTTGCCCAGATCAACCAGCCTGTGCATATATAAGTCAAACTCCTCACGTCTGTGGGGATATACCGTACAGACCACATCCCGATAAATGCCAAAAGCTAATACAAATTCAGGAATGGTTAGCTTCCTATTTAATCGTGCATCCCTGGATTTGACCACCACAGAAATATCGTCATAAGCGTAGGTCTTATGTTCCACTATATCCTGGGAGGCAATTAGTAGTGAGGCCAGATTGACATCTTTACCTTCCAGGATATCTCTCCTGAGGTGCTCAGGAATCATGTGGGCAGGGTAAACTTCTTGGTCATCCGAGGTGATAGCTGGAGAAACTGATTGCGACTCCACCACTGATGGGGGAATTGCCGTGGCCGGTCCAGCCATAGTGAGGGCTGTAGTGACCGATTCAAGTTTCTCCAGCCTAGAATTGACCTTGCTCATGGATGTCATGAGGGACGTGAGCATGTCATGTATGTTCCCTGGGTGGGACTGGCTCGACCCTTCCCCAGCGTCCATGTTATCAGTTGAGGTGTGTAATAATTTGTAAAGTTCCGCTTTCCTTGCTGTTGCTGGAAAAGGGATTTGTCGTCTCCTGAGTTCGCTAGTGATACGAGGGATAGTCCATGATCTGAAAGATGCTGGACTAGCCGTATCTTCCTCCTGTGATGGGGTGTTGGTTCTAGCCGGAGTCCTTGGGATGGAGAAATCCTCTACCCCTTCTTGAGACATACTAGATTACAAAGTATATGGTTAGCATAAAAACCCCCGAGGGGATGTACTGGCAGGCTAATTATGCCGGATGAGGCGAAAAATTAAACTTGTTCTTTGGTGACAGGTGAGGCCCTGCTAGTTGCCAAGTGGCTATGAGAGGCTCTATCTATGCGTTGGCGCGAGGGGTTATTGAGGCCACCCGACGTAGTGGCAGGAATTCGTAGGCCTCTCGGTGACAATACAAGAAAACAGGGGAAGGGAGTGACAGGTGGCACCCTCTCTATAATGCGAGGCGGCTAACTCACGTGTGGCCCGGGGGGCATTACCTCCGAAACGTTGAGGCGGGGTGTTGGCCTCGCGGACCACTAAACGATAGGCAGAATGCCCGGAGGGGGGATACCTATTTGGGCCTATAACCCCTAAAATTGCCAGTACTCTATGTCCTAAGTAGAGGAGGAACCATATGTGATGTATGGCGTGAGCAGGCTTAACGTACCTGGTAGTATGTATGCGTTTGATAAGCGATAGGTAGAGAAAACTGGAAAAACCTAAAGGGATAGAAAAACCAAATATGATAGTGTGAGAATTGGATCCTATGATACCAATTTAGACTAGTTATTTGTGATGAGTTCTAGTAGTACATATGGAAAGGGAATACATGAATGATATTGGCCCGACTGGCCCTGTATGTGGTATGGTAATCATGCTTGGGGGTGTGTATGATATGTCTCTATGGTGACCAGATTAATGCGTATGATATAGTAATGCTAGTGTTTGTGGTATAATAAGGTGCAGGATTTAAAACAATACCGTATATGTTAGGCCGTAAACGTAAGTCATGAAAAGAGGTAAGTACGAGGTACAGAAATATTTGAGAAGTTATCCCAAATTAGGAAACAACGTGACGTATGAGTGGTTGAATCAAGACGTGTGATTCAACCCGAAGTTTGTGAGATTTGTGAGACCGTGTTCTTGTGTACTTGGTATGTCGTTTGAGTACACAAAGAAAAAGTCAGAATATATAAGTGCCATGTAAGAAACGTGAGTACATGGTATGATAGAAACGTAATTTCTAAACATAATTTATAACGTAAATCCTACAAGCGATATCTGTAAACATGTAAAAGCTTGTCTAAGCTTAACTCCATAAATATATGTATATAACATGAAGAATTTCAATAAAACTTTAATAATGCCATATCTGCTAAGATTAAACCATAACCTAAATAAATACTTATTCATAAGTAGTTAACAGGGGTATTGCCCCAGTCATATGCAAGGATTTCGAAATTTGCATAAAATAAATAACAGTAATAACATGAAACCAATTATAGCTGATGATATGCAGAACAAATTGTTTAATACAAAGAAAAACCGAAACCGATATGCCTGCCGGCAGCAAAGGGGTTAATATGCCTGTGACTTGGCCGTAAAGCGTGTGGCCGTAAAGTAAGGCCGTTTTAAATCGCGACGCCGTGGGAAATGATCCGGGCGACGGACTTACGATTTTGAAGTCCTGTGGACTTAATCTGCGACGAAAACACCGGGTATGTGCGTGGCTGAACGGGCGGAAAACCTGTAAGGATTCCTGGACACAGCTACAGCAAACGAAAACCGCGGGTTTTTGAAAAGCAAGATGGCGCCGTAAGTGAACCGGAAGTGGATTCTCGATGCAGCGCTGACCTCGAACGGTATGGAGCCAGGTAAGGGGTGTCCCTTAAGTAGGGAGAAGGTGAGTCATACGCCCCTCCCACAATTACAGGCCAAAAGGCCTTAATACATATAAAAAAAAAATATATATATATATATATATATACACATACACTGTCTAAGTGTATTTTAATATTATATATATATAATTATAAGTAGATATTTTTATATCAAAATACACGTGGAATGATAAATATATTCATAATTATATATATATACATTAAAAGTAACAAATAAAAATATAATTTAAATATATATATGTGTGTGTAATTTCGTTCTAACTGTTTTCTCTTTTCCAGAGAACTGCAATGTTTACATTGCAGCTCTAAGTCTGCTCTTTGTTGCTGTCTAACAGACAGCCACTAGAGGGTTTCCGGAATCCTAATGGACTTTGGTTGTTTATCTGATGCTGGACGTCCTCACGGACCTCCAGCGTCAGATTTTCCCCATAGGAAAGCATTAAATAATGCTTTCCTATGTAGAGGTCTAATGCGTGCGCGGCCCTTGCCGCGCATGTGCATTAGGTCAGCCGGCGGGGGAGGAGCGTTGGCGCAGCCTGACCCAGCACAGAGGGACATCCGCTTTGGATTCAGGTAAGTGGTTGAGGGGCTTTTAACCCCTTCAGCCCCGCGGGAGCCTAAAGTGCCAGGAAAACTATAGACCTCTTTAATTCTCCTCCATTCTGAAGAAAACAGAAGAATACTACAGAAGGGAGATTTTGTATTTTTGAACCATGTTTTTTTTTCCATGTTCCATGTTTCATCTTAAAAAAAGATGAGCCTAATTTATTGTGTTAAAGTCAGGCCTGTATCCTCCTGCTTTTTGTACTGCAGGTGTGTTAAAGGTCTTAAAATGTAACTTTCCATAACACTACCAATGTGTTTTTATTTTATATCTGAGGGTGTAACTGCACATGTTTAACTCTGATTATCTATCTGTATGTGTGCATATGTGATTATATGCTAGCCCACGTTTCTGCAAATGAGTGTTTGTGATTATCCATCTGTCTGTGTGTCTGTATGTGTGTATTTGTGAATATCTGCCTTTGTATGTTTCTGTATGTGTGTATCTATAATTAAGTGCTTATGTGTACATTTGTGACATGTTTGAAAACGTGTGTGCCTGTAAGACTGTATCTGTGAGTTGGTGCATGAATATGACAATGCATATTTATGAGTGTGTGTCTGTGTGTGTAATTATTAAAAACCAAAGAAAAAAATCCCTATGTATTTTTAAACAAATGGAGGTTTTTTAGTTGCCTCCAATGGCCATGAGAGGATAAGCCCACCTGCCAACGCCAAGGCAGACCCCCCCCAGGTGGGTCCTAACTCTAACCATTCACCTTGCTTCCTTGAGCTTCAGGCAAAGATCTCTAATGAGACAGAAAGGGGTATTTTTTATATACACCCCTATATATTATTAACGCTTAATAGGGAACACATGGGATGGGCGGCTGCATTGTAACAAGGCTGAGTGATACAAAAAATGGATACAAATGCAGAAAGATAAGTCCTGCGCTCACTCCCATCACTACTGGGCGGCAGCAAAAGACTACAGTACACATCAGCCCCAATATATAGTAAAAACCAAACCTGCAGGTAACTTGTTTTTCTTTGGTTTTTACTATATATTGGGGCTGATGTGTAATGTAGTCTTTTGCTGCCGCCCAGTAGTGATGGGAGTGAGCGCAGGACTTATCTTTCTGCATGTGTGTGTATTTATGTTTACATGTCTGTGAATGTATGTCTGTAAATGTTACTTTATCAATTATTTACCTCAACACTGTTTTTTTAAAAAAATATATATAATCATTTCATCAAGTTTTGAAAGGAAATGGATTATTTATTAAATGAATTATGTGTAAAATAATAAAAAAAAATAAAGAAAACAAAACATCCCTACCGTTGGTATAGGACAGAAACCTTCAGCCGTATACTTACACCTCGTGTCAGACAGTGTTTGACAACCTCTGTATGGTGACTGTCTTCCTGCCATACTCATTGGACTGACTGTCAAATTCTAACTCTGCCTGAGCCAAGGTGCATGTATATGGCTGAAACATTCCGTCATATACTATAGGTAGAGATTATTTTATTTACATATACTTCATTTAACAAATAATCAATTTCCTTTCAAAGGTTGATGAAAGGATCATTATATTAAAAGACAGTGTTAAGCTGACTATACTCCTTTAAAGGAGAACAGTCATTGTTTGTTTTTTAAAATCTTTATTTCATAATATATAATATTCTTTTTTAATTTTTTTTTAATTTACATATATTAAATTTTTTAAAGAAATAACTTGCCTATCTGTCCCATCCCCCCTTTCTGCCAACTTTATGCAGCTTGGGACAGACTGATGGGAGTGAGTATCACATACAGAGAAAGTGAGTCCTGGCAGGATATTTGCCAGTATTCCTTCAGTCTAATTCCCGGGCCTGTGACTCACACGGAACGCCACCATAAAGCCAATAGTAGGAGCAGGGATATAATGTTTGTTGTATCTCGCCCCCTCCACACAGTGCCAAACAATGAAGACCTAGGCCAAACTGAAGACTTACGCCTGGATAAGGTGGAACGGGGTTACACTTGCATACTATAGATTAGATATATTTTAATCCATAGCTTGATTTTGAGGTGGGTAAAGCTCACATGTACATGTATTACAATCTAACAGCAATCATTTATAAATTGTATTAATTTGCATTTCCGTATGTATACTTGTATTTATATTTTATTTCGTTTCATACTGAATTGTTATTTCTTTCAGAGGACAAGCTCTTGAGAAAGAAAATCCTGAAGCCAGGTCTCGGTGAGGCTACTAGACCTCTCCCAGGCCAAGAGGTTACTGTGCATCTCATAGGAATATTGGAGGATGGAAGCCTGGTGGAGAAAGATCCCAAGTTGACCTTCGTCTTGGATGAAGGCGATGTCATACAAGTAATTTTACCAACTGGTCCTCGATTCGATGTACTTGCCTAGATTGCAGTTAAAGCACAGAAGTAAATGTTTGAACTAATATGCGCTTTAGTTATTCGGCAATAAATATGGTTTAGATTAATGCGACTAACAGCGAGATCACTTTCCAAGTTCATGTCCAAAATAGCCAAGCTTCAAAACTGTTCCCACTGAGAGAAAAAAAGTGCACTAAAACCACATGGATTCTCACATGCTGTAGATGATCTTCTTTTCTATGTATAAATATTTACATGACATATTCTTTGTCTTGGCAGGCTGCCAAGACATTGATGTCACATCCAGAGTTCCTTTACTTTGCTTTAAAAAACTACCCCCAACATAATATCCATTAAAAGAATACTCCAGGTACCACGATCACTACAACTCTCTATGGTCATTATGGTTCCCACCTCCATTGTAAGGAAGCAAATCTTTTTTTTTAGGGTTTTTTTACTTCTTAGCTTGGGTTTGTCTGAAGTTTTTCTGCAGATCTCCTGAGCTAAGCCCTGAAATCCAATCTGTAGTGGTTTTGGTGCCTGGAGTGTTCCTTCAACTTGGCTTACTATGACATCTACAAAGAATAAAACTCAAGAATGCAGGTCATTTAACTACCTTTTTTTGCAAAAAACAGGGATGCTCAAGTACCATAACTTGTAAGCTAACAACTTTAACTTAAAGGACTACTCCAGACCTCTAAAGCACTTCGTATATTAATTTGTTAAGTGTGAAAAAAATATTTGTCTGCTTGATATGCTATGCATGTGCATTTAAGTATGTACTGCTTCTCTTTCCATAAACAATGGTGCTTTACAACAGCACAAGCTCTCTAATTAACATGGACCTCTTCCAATTGTTTACTCTCCTTTGTGTATTTTATGGTTCCCCAACTAGAGATTGTTATAGTAAGGAATTACTGCGCCTTTAAGTTCAAGCAGCATACTCACATATAAAAAAGGATAAGCAATACTAACCTCATTCGAGTAATATTTATATTGTTAAAAATAAATAGCATAGGTGAGGGTCCTGATTGCATGTCAGTAGATACTAGACAAACTGTTAATTAAATTGTTTCCCTTTTTTACCAATATACGCAGGCACTGGAATTGGGGGTTCGGTCGATGCAGCTTGGAGAAGTGGCTTTCATGCTTACAAATGGCCTTTATGCGTTTGGCATTCTGGGAAGGTATTTATTCCACAATATTACAGGGCTTAGATAAGAAATGAAGTCATAGAATTATGGATGTATTTTAACACCACAATAACAGTCCCACTACTCTCCTGATGTCCCACACAATCCCCATACCCACCTTTCCTCCCTTTAGCCCTTGATAATTGTTACTACCAATCTTACCTTGCTCATCTGTTGCTTCCCAATACCTAACAGAACTTGTGATAAAATATCCGTCTGATGTAATAGGATAGTGAGGCAACAAGTAGCTAAACATGAATATAATTGCAGTCATCCAGAGAGTTTTAGTCCACAGCAGCTCTATTTAGCAAGTCACCACTTTAATGGACATAGAACAATTAATTATTAAAATGTCACTTGTACTAATGCAGTCCTAAAGTATGATTTTGTGTATATATAAAAAACAAAACAAATTTTTTTTTCTAAATCTCACTCATCTGTGAGAAGCTTTCGACTGGAGGCTTGTCATCAATGCATCTCTGGGATAAGCATTTTATTGGACAATGACCAGCACTAACAAGGAAGTAAGTGCAGGACAAAAAGGGGTGGGTCTTCATTACTTCCAGAGGCTGGTTCTGAAACTAATAAAAGGTATGTTTTAAAGGGCTTAAGAAATATTTGTGCATTTACTGTTAGTAAATGCTTTTTGTGGTAGCAATTAATTATGTTATGAAAAATGTAAGCATATTTGGACATTGAGATTCCCTTTAATGCAAATCCAGTGGCTCCCAAATTTTTATGACTCAGATTACACACGGCATGTAGGTTGGAGACCCATTCTTTCCGCTGGATTTAGTAAGTTGTTGAATTAAGTTTAAAGATCTATGATATTTACTATTGTGTTGTTGCAGGCTGACTTTCGAGCATAACCAAGCTCAGGCAGTGGATCTATTTCTCTAAACTAAATGCTTCAAAAAGCACAACACTAGAGAAATGGCAAGTATAAGCCTGTCCACTATATCTGCAAACAGTGACACTCAATTAGTACAAATCGTTATAAATACACATATTCAATGAAACCTTAACATATCATAATAGAGACCCAATCTGCTCTCTTACACTAAGATCTCTTCTTGAATGAATATAAGATAATAATAATAATAATAGCAACAATAAAACATGTAGTGCCTCAGGACTCCCCAAAAATGATCCAGTGAGGAGTGGCACTTGTCTTTTTTCAATAGTTAATATATTAAATAGGGCTAATAATGTTATGTACCCACTTGTAATGGCCCATGAGATGCCCATTCTCTTGGGCCCTAAGTGGTTAGTCCTATATCACGACCAATTTTCCCATCCAGCCCATGCCACCCAGCCCAGCGCCCTTTCCGTGTTCCAAGAGCACTCATAAGCTGGTCAGAGAGCCACTGAGGTATGCAGGGCCGGTGCAAGGATTTTTGCCGCACTAGGCAAACAAAAATTTGCCGACCCCCCCTCCATCACAATGCCCCACTTATATGATCTGTCATATGAGCCAACGCCAGTGCTGCACACAGTGTCTTTTCTCTGAAAAGGCAGTGTGTTTACATTAAAAAGCCTGCAGAGACAGGCTATAGACACCAGAACCACTACATCAAGCTGTAGTGGTTCTGGTGACTATAGTGGCCCTTTAATATGAGGTAAATTAGGAATTAGTGCCACTAAAAATGTACTGGATTGCCTACTTACCACCAGATGAGGACAAGAGAATGATGATGGGCTCAGGCTGCAGTCTGGCTCCACTGGTCTGGTGTTAAAACAGGCTCTTTGGAGGCAGTGCTCACAAAAACAACGAATAGGAAGCAGCTCAATTTTTTGGGCCCCTTACACAGATCATGGTCTGAATGTGTGTGTCTGTGTATGTGTGTATGTATGTGTGTGTCTGTATGTCTGTGTCTTTATGTATGTGTCGGGTGGGGGGCCCACGGATCAGTTTCGCACCGGGGCCCCATTGATTGTGTGTACGCCATTGGAAGAATGGTGTATTTCTGTGTGAGTGTAGGATGCATTGTATGTTTCAGTGTGTGTGTGTGAGAGTAGGGATGCATTCTGTGCATGTATGTTTCTGTGTATGTGTAAGGATGCATTGTGTATGTGTGTAGTGTGAAATAGAGGTTTTGTGGGGTAGGATAGCTCTTTATTTTTATTATTATTTTTTATTATTATTATTATAGTTATTTTGTTAATATATTTTTTCTTTAAGTTTTGTGCCTTACACTCCCATTTAGTGTGTCTCTCATCCCCCCTCTTTGTATGTCTCCTACATCCTCCCAACCCCTTTGCGTGTCTTACTCCCCCAAGCCCCTTTATGTCTGACTCTTCCCAGCTCCTTGGTGTGTCTCTTTTTCCCCCGACCCCTCTGCATGTCCCCCTCACAAGTGACTCTGTGTGTCTTTCTCCTGAGCCCCTCTGTGTGTCTTTGTCTTCCCTACCAGCCCTTCTGTGCTTCTCTTTCACCCTTCCTCAGCCTGTGTGTCTTACACTTTCCCTGTCCCTTAGTGGTCTCAACTCTACTTCTCACCCTGTCCCTTATAGGTCTCCCATCTTGTCCCTCTGAACTCTCCCCTCCCCTCCCCTCCTGTGCCTTAGTGTCGTCCCCTTTCCTCCTTTCCCTTAGTGCTCTCCCCTCCCCTCGTGTCCCTTAGTGTTGTCCCCTTCCTTTCTGTCCCATAGTGCTCTCCCCTCCTGTCCCTTAGTGCTCTCCCATACCCTCCTGTCCCTTAGTGCTCTCCTATCCCTTAGTGCTCTCCCTTCCCTTAATGATCTCCCCTCCCCATCTGTCCCTTAGTGCTTTTCCCTGCTCCCCTGTCCCTTAGTGCTCTCCACTGCCCCCCTGTTCCTTAGTGTTCTGTCCTGCCCCCCTGTCCCTTAGTGCTTTCCCCTGACTCCCCCTCTTCCCATAGTGCTCTCCCTCCCCCCTGTCCCTTAGAGTCCTCCTCCCTCCCCCATCTTTCCCTTAGTGGTCTCTCCCCCCCCTCCCATCTTTTCCTTAATGGTCTCTCCCCCCCCACCCCGTGTCCCTTAGTGGTCTCCTCCCCACCCATCTTTCCTCAGTGGTCTCTCCCCCCTCCAGTGTCCCTTAGTGGCTCTCCCCCCATCCTTCCCTTAGTGGTCTGTCTTCCTCCACAGTGTCCCTTAGTGGTCTCTCCTCCTCTCCCTCCCTCCCCCCCAGTGTACCTTAGTGCCATCTCCCACCCCTTCCCTGTTGTGTCTCCTACCTCTGTGTAGTGTGGCCGGGCGGAGAAGACCGCGGTACAGAGCTTCTGTTTCCTGTACCCGGCCGGACTGACAGGAAGTGAGAGAGAGCACTGAGAGAGCACTTCCTTTCAGTCCGGCTGGGTACAGGAAGTTCCTGTACCTCGGTCCGCCCCACCCGGCCGCACTTTACTGAGTGACTGGCAGGAGAGAGCACTGTGCGCTTCCCTTCTGACGGGTCACTCGAAACTTGCGCCCCCCCCGGGCCAATGCCTAAGTCGCCTATAGGAAGCGCTGGCCCTGGAGGTATGGTGCGCCTGACCGGGACATACTCGTAAACCTTTTGGAACTTTTGGTTGCATTGTGGAGTTGCCACGGTCAGGTGAAACTGGCTGAGACCCCAGGTAAAAAATGTGACAGTGTGACAAAAAAAAAAAATCAGTTCTTCTTCACCCTTTACTTAGTTTCGACTAGTGTTTGGGTGAGACAGCGATAATACAGCAGCAAAGAGATTTAATCACTTTGGGGCTATAAACACACAGAAGAAAGGGACCAGCTAATTGTGGGTTCACCACCATCACCAACATCACCATCATGTTTTATGGAACCTATCAATGGATCTGAAGATAAACAGTCTCCTAGACTGTGTATTTCTGTGGAGACTGTGTATTTCTTGGGTCTTTTAAACATATTGCTTTCCAATCCGCAAACCATTGAGTGATGAAAGAGGAAAGACCGTTTGACATTTCCCAATACATTTCATGCGAATGTTTTGAGGTTTCCACTCACAACCTCCTTGCCAACATTCTCATACTAGTGGCATTGAGAGTAATTGGACCCTATGTCATACCATATCCTTAAAGGGACACTATAGTCACCAGAACTACTACAGCTTAAATAAAAAAATGCAGTGTATACACTGCTGAATATTTACAACTCTAGTGGCAGTCACTCAGACGGTCTCTAGAGGTGCTTCCTGTGCCAGTCTATGCTCTGCATGGAGGCACTGAACGTTCCCCATAAGCTGCAATAGCCAACCAATCCTTTACTATGGGAAAGTATTGGACTAGCTTAGATCATCAAAATTGATTATCTCAGCCACGGAGGCGGGGCTCAGACCGGCACAGCGTGGGAGAAAAGGTGATTAAAATTGCCTTTAATCTCCAGAGAGAGTGTGGTCAGGGACCTAATGCTGCATTCCAGTACTATAGTGTCAGGATTACATGTTTGATTCCTGATACTAAAGTATTCCTTTAACCCCTGAAGGACCAAACTTCTGGAATAAAAGGGAATCATGACATGTCATGTGTCCTTAAGGGGTTAAATACCAAACGTTATTGAAAACTATAGTAAACATGTATAGTAAGAAGGACTTAAATTGGCAATAGGAGCACCTTTGCCTATAGCTTCCATCTAAAGTAGATTATATCCCTAAACCCATACTTAATGCCTTATCCAACCCCTAATTCTAATTGTTTAACATGCATCTCTTTCTTGAAAATATAATTTTCCAACAACATTGCCTTAGGGCTAAAGCCAACATTGCCTTTATTGTAAAAAAACAAAAACAAAAAATAATAACACTTGTTGAAATATATATCCTAATCCAAATATAAACTGCCTTACCCTTTGAAGCTATTTCCAATAAAAAAAAAAAAGAAATTGATCATTTTTCACACATTTGGCCTCCTATCAAGTGGGTTTTCGTTCACATAGTTTTTCCATGAAACTGTATTCTGTTAAATGGGGTTTTTAGTTTGGCTACAGAATTTAAATACCCATGTAGCAAATTCTAATTGGAAGTATTTATGTTTTAACTATAGCGACTCTATGGATTTTATCCCTGTTGGTTTTTACAGTGTAAACATTTATATTGAGACCAACATAGCAGCAAGCAAGCAGTAAAAAGTATCTATATTTCAATTTGACTTGGATTTTCAAATTCATCATAATCCATTGAGAGCATGAGAACATTCTTACTGGTTTCTGAGTTATGAGCTGTATAATTAGTTGATTTTAAAATGTTATAATCGTGATCTGATAATGCATTTCTAGTCAGTCCTGGAAATCCCCAGCTCTATATTTACAGGCAGATTGATTGGCATTTGTGTTAAATTTATAACTTTGTGATAAACCCATTGATCTATATTGTGAAATAGTCCAACTATTTTATCTTAAATTGGAAAAGTCACTTCTCTGGATAAAACACTGTTGAAGGCAACATTGACAATCATCTTGAACCTGCATTATCTTTTTTTTTTCATGTGAAGCTCCATTTTCATTTAAATTAATCTCAAAGATTAAGCAAATTATACCATAGTCCAGTACAATCCAGGCACAGCCACGGCACGCATTACAAATGAAGAGGAGCAATAGATACATGATGGAAATGTTCCTCTTCTCTGTATGCTCTTTTTATGCTGAGAAGCAAAGGACAGACTTTATAAGAATGACTGAATGGGAGTGAAGGTGGCGGCACCCAATTGTGTAAAAACTAAGTGTGAATTTCTACATTTAATTTTATTTTTCAGACCTCACAAACGTATTTGTTAAATATAGAGGACAAAGAAACATAATAATAAGCATCCTCTTTAAAATATCAGTTTGGTCAGGTAACGGAGGTATCAGTAGGACAGATGCAATAGTCTATGAACAAGTCTACCAAGATAATGTCTGTATTTTATTTTATTTTTATGTTAATGGTTGATACAGTAAAGTTATATATTTTTTTAACATATCGGATTAGATCCAGGGTTTTGCCTGATGTTCTCCTCCACTACGTCACATGGGTAGGGAACAATGACTGTGCTTATCGTCACTAGTACGATATCCTCCTAGAGAGAGGCTGACCCACCTTCTGGTCCGATCATTGCGGTCCTGGACATTTTACACTTGATAATGCAGAAGTGTCATTTACATATGATCATTGTGGCTGATGATGAGCTTGGCTATGAGTTCCAAGAAATGCCCCTTTAAGTTGAAGTAGCATCATCTTTTTTAAATAATAAATAAGTGATGATGTGTCTGGTTTGGGTTTAAAATAAGAAAACAGATTACCCTGCTGTTGAGCTTATTAAAGTATGCATACATTATACCATTGGTAGTTAAAGGGGCTCTGAGATCTATATATTTTATTTATTTTTTACAAGTGGAATAGGAGTGCTATCCTTATCATAAAAGGGGCAGTAATGACTGAACACTATGCAGCCACTTTTACAGTAGGCAGAGTAGCATGCAAAAGGAAAGCTGGGCATGGAGTTGGCACAGGATAAAGCAACTCTCTGGGATAGCAACAGAACTGGTAATTTCCTGGATATTTTGATGTGCAATTACATTTTCAATAAAACAAAAAAATTGGAGACAAAGGTTTTATATTTTCTGAGAATCCCACTTCAGTTAGTCAATTTGTCTACTTCAAGGCCATTGCAATGAAGGAAATGAAAAGTCTGGCTTTGGGTTTTTCTAGACTGGAAATTGGCTAATGAGCAGTCAGCTAGGGAAAGTGTATGATCAATATTTCAGTGTGACTCATTGCTTACGTACATTGTACCTTGCAGAACACAATGACAGCACAGTGACATTTAGACAAAAAAACAAACATACATTAGTCAGTAATAAATGTCTTTATCACTGACTCACTGCAGAGAGGCTTGCTAAAAGACCAGTCTTTATAGTGTCATACTAAAAAATTTTAAAAAAAATTTAACCTTATTTCTTCCAAAGTGATTGAAGACAAATTGAAGTGGATTTAATGCTACATCTGAAAAATTTCATAGATGTGGTCTTTACTTTGTCAGTATAATTCATGGAAAGATCAGAGGGTCAGTAATGAGTTTTTTTCTGATGTAATAAATGTTCCTGTATCCTCTGCTATAGGTTAATATATAACATTATACATATGTAACAGCATGCTTGACAGACGCACAGTCGGATTTGCCGGCATATGCGCTAACCTTACCCAAACCCCCATTAAAACACGGACACAGGTTATACTGTTGGAAATAATTCGTCCACAGCTTTATTAAATTATTAATAAAATAATTAAGGAATAACAAATGGGGTCATTGCCAACAAATCTTAATAATGTTAACCTCCTCCATATACATAACATACCCCTAGCAATGACCCCACAATAATAACAATAGATAACAATCTAAATAACACGTTAATACAGAAACTGGCCGCCCAATATGACCACATTTCCACCAGGTTAAATTGTAGAGGTGTACCGAGACACCGCTACCCACCATATCGATTGTAGGGGTGTACCGAAACACCGCTACCCACCATATCCATTGTAGGGGTGTACCAAGACACTGCTACCCACCAGTTCCAGTGTAGGGTGTACCAAGACACCACCACACCCACAGGTTCGGAGCCACCGACTGGCTCGAACCTACCAACCACGTGCAACACTGCCCAATCCACACTAAACCTCCGGATGCCCACTTTCTCCTCCATCTACCCTCCGATTTAACCAGACCATCCCCTGCCACTGTGAAAAAACGGGAAATCAACTAACTTAACCAAATACAGGGAGGGTGGGAGGGACAACTGACAGGTAAGCTTAGGTTCAGTTAAAATGGCCACTTCATATAATGGCTGGTATAAATACTCCCCTTATGGCTCCGCCCTACCCAGCATGCTAGCTGTCACTAAATTCCTGTGGCTGCTATGCCTACCTCCTGGCTCTGTCAAGGCCTATTCCTTTTAGCTGCGCTGATCCATGGGCTACATTCCCTTTGTCAGATAAGGTGATGTACTAAATTAGCTTTTTTTTTTTTTAATTCTTTATTTTTGAAGCACATTGTCAGATACATGTTGACATTTTGTTAAAGCGAAATTGTTGCGCTTTTTTTTGTTTGTTTGAAAACATAAGATAATTCAGCAATTTTCTCATCGTATATAAACTGCATGCAGAGTAAGTAATTACTTAAAAAAACATTTTCCATCTGAATGTGATACCCCGCGCTCGCAGGAACGTGGTGAAGGGCTGCATCGTTTTCCACTACGCTAGGGTGCTCTCCGAGAGGTCCACATAGAAGGTGAGAAGAGAGTTCTCAAAGTGGTAAGGCGTCTGTCCCCTGAGAGAGCACAGCACTGCGGCCCTGTCCTGCCCAGCCTGGAAGCAAATGATCAAGTCCCTTAGGGCTGTGATAGGGGCCCGGCTGGTCTGGGGATCCAAAACATTCCGTCTATTGCCACCGACTTGGCTTGTCTGGGAGTTAGGATTGCATGTAGGAGGCAGCTGATGAAGTGTGGTAATTCAACAGCCTCTGCCACCCCTCTAATCTTGAGGTTATTGCAGCATCTGGAGTCCTCCATAGCTGCATACCTCTGCTCAAGAGGTATGTTGCTTTTGGAGTATGTGCAGCTCCTGTTGCAATTGAGTGAGTTGCATTGTGGTAGTGCGGGAATTCTCCTCTAGCGTGCCCATGCGGCCTGTGAGGCCTAGCAGGTCTTTTCGGAGCGTGGCTACATCCGCCAACAGTTCTTGCATATCTGCCTTAGTAACCAGCACTGCATCTGTTTTAGGCTCAGTAGGCGCAGGGGGCAATGTCTGTGCTCGTGGTGCAGGTAGTTGAAAGTCTTCCGACCCCAGGGTTTGGTGGTCAGAGAAGTCGGAGCTCTCTCCCATGTACTGTGGTAACTGGGATTACAGGGCGCTTTGTGCCTGCCGCCATTGGTCCCCTATGGTCGCTCCAGTTCTTGGTTTGTCTACTTTTTGGTCTTTTGACCCATGACTGTTTGTGCTACTTACCATTAAAAATAAATAAAGGGAAGAAAATCTGCTTTCATCCAAAGTTATGCTTGGTGGGATCCATATAATAAACATCGAAATCAACAAAATAAATATGTAACAAATAATAATTAACATAATCTCTCTAGCGAGAAAGCGTGACTTGGGCTGTTGTGGCGTTTTCCTGCTTGAGTTCAATCATTAATTAAAGTGTTAAAAACCTGGGCCTGTATTCCCCTGCATCTCATGTTATAAACTGTATGATAAGCAAGAACATTAAAAAAACATGTATACGTGTCATCTTGGCTACTGAATCTTCCAAACAGCTGTTTTGCACAAGTTGCATGTAATTTTAAGGATATTGAACAGAGACTGTCAACTGTACAATACAATAATAGCAATCATTCCAAGCTGTTCACAGACTGCTTCTCCTTACAGAAACCCAGACATCCCGTCGGATGCCTCTCTAATGTACAGAGTGACTTTACTAAGAGCCAGAGACAAGCCAAGCCTTGGAGTCCTTACTCCAGCAGACCGCATCAGCCTTGGAAACCAGAAACGGGAATGTGGGAATTTCCACTTTGAGCGTGAAGAATATCGAAGTGCCATGCACTCTTATAGCCAGGCCCTAAGCATCCTCACCCCAAACAGTGCAGGTACGGTAATCATATACTAAGGAACATATAAACTGCCTCTTAAAGGACTAGTCATTAAAGTGAGAATTGCTAAGAGTTCAAAGTGAATTCAGAATGGATTTAAAGTTTAAAGAGACACTATAGGCACGTAGGCTACTTCATCTTATTGAATGGTCGGTGTGCAGTGCGCCAGGATTTTTTGCACTGTAATCTAAAAAACAGTTTAGTGGAAATGGCACTGTTTTGAATGCAGTCACAGTATGTGCTTCCACACTCATAACTGAGCCTGTCTTGCCATTTGCCATGCATATGCTTCTCATCCCAATGCTTCTCTGTGAGAAGTACTGGATTCAACGAGAAGCCAGGAAGTGCTGCCTTTCGGGTGACATTGGGAGAGGAGCAGGTGGCAGTACCAAATGCTTGTCGGCACTGGATATTAAAAACCTTTTTACTTTTTGTTTATTTAAGTTGGGAGCCCTCTAATCTTTATAGTGAGGAGACACCTTTAAGGCCAAAATCAATATACTGAAGACACCTACATAGGAAAAAATATCAGTTGTATCCATCTTAGGAAAACACTGCTGAATTCCAAACATGAGGCTTGGCATTCAACCAGAAGTGTAATGAGTGACTCTCTTAACAATAATGCCCACATGCAGTCATTATTTTAACATTCGTATTCTGCATTCTGGAAACAGCATCTACAAAATGCCACAAGGTTCTTTATAAATATACCAATAAGCAGGTGTTTGACCCTACTTTTCTATCTATAGTGGACAAGCATCCACTTTGCTAATATTTGATATCCTTCCTTCACCTGTAGACAAAATACAAATAAAGAGAATGTAGTGTTGTCATGGTTGTGTGATGATAAATCCACTTATAGATTCATCCCTTGCCTAATGATTTCCCGTTATATGTATTACTCAGACCCACTGAGCTCAGAGGAGGAAGAGGAGATTCGCGAGCACAGAATTAAATGCCTGAATAACCTGGCTGCTACCCAGCTGAAGCTTCACCACTTCGATGACGTCATTAACTCCTGCAATGCTGTCTTGGAGATGGACATCAATAATGCAAAGGCACTTTATAGGAAAGGAAAGGTATTGTTACTTCTTCATGTCACAATGTAAAGTATCAGACTTTGACCTATGATCAAATAAGTGTATCTTAGGAACGCATTTTATTGCAATTTAGTAATGGTAGAAATGCCTATAAATACAGGTATTATCCTTTTTATAAAAACTATACTATGGCTGCCAGCTATAAAGAAACACATTAAGCAGCATAACCGCTACAGACTGTTGTGGTGATTATGGTACCAGGAGTGTCATAGTACCGTCCAGGGTAAGATGTCAAGCCACTTTAGTATATTTTGACAAATTATCTGGGTTCTGCCGGGTATCTGCATCACATCAAGTCTTCTCCGGCATGACGGTTAGAACGCTGAGATGGCACTCTCAGTCAATGAGAGTGATCCAGCATGGTCCTGCTTTGTTCTAAAGAGCAATCCAACTCTTGCTGGAGAGGACTGGATGCACGTGTCCGTTGGCAGCCCAATAAGTTGTGCAACCAAACTAAAATGGTTTGACATGTTACCATGGGTTGGTAATTGGGGCTTTCCTTATAAATAATGCTCTGTTTATTGTTGAAATTGCACTGCACATCTGTCCAAAGCCATCCAATCTTGGATAACACCGGTAGGCTGCACCTGCAAGCACTGGGAAGTTAGAAGAAGGAAGTCCTATTGTTGCGTTCTTTTATGGTACAGTTCACAAATTATCAAATGCAATATAGTCAGATATCACCCTTTAGAATGCCATGAAGTTGTATAACAACAATAATACTGTAGATTCTCTTTTCATTAAACATAAGTGGTATCCCTTCTAGCACTACCTCATTCCATGATGATACATATGTCTTTAGACAATCCGATACTTTAGATACTTTTATGGTGGCACCACCTATGGACTTGTCATTCATCATCATCATTATATGAATATTAGTAGTTTTGTAAAATTATTTACAGGCCATTCTAGTGACAAATTCTTGAAAAAAACCAACCCAAAATATTGGATGAAAGCAGAACTAGCATTCTGTGTATGCAAGCTGCGGATCTTGCTGTTTAATTGACTGTTAATAATTTCATGGATGATGTGTAATGGGCTTCTCCATTTATCAGGTGTTGTCCGAGAAAGGAGACTATGAAGCTGCAATGTCTGTTCTAAAACAAGCCCTTACACTGGAGCCTACAACGAAGGTAAGTGACGGGATGTAGATTAATAATTTTTTTTATTAGTGCAGTTAAAGTAAAAGATTATTGCCGCTTCCCCTATCCCAACGTTCCCATTCTAAATACTCCCTTCATACAACACTGACAGTAACCACAGCTAAACCAGGCAGGTATAGTTAGTGCAAGAGACAAAGAGCAACACAGTTTATAAGTATATTAATAAGTCTCACTGTATTTTTCCTATCAGTCTGTCATATTCTCTCCCACTATCTACGGAGAGTGTTAAGGTGCAAATCCAAGCATGTTAACTTACAGGTAGTTATGATAAGTGCAAGTAATCACTTTAATAATTCATTTTGCATCATATATCCACCCTTTCTGTCCCAATCTCCTCTGTGTATGCAGCAAAGGTTTCTGGTTCCTTAGTAATATTACTTCTAGAGAAAGGAGATAGAAAAACACAGGTCAAGTCAGAACTGAGGTTCTAACCATCAGTTTCTTTGCTCTTAAGATCTGTTTTGTTTCTTTGAGGACTGGAGGAATCCTTTAATTTTTCTCGCCATTCCTTTAATACTGCGGCACAAGTCATTCAGATGGAAATAATATTAAATCCAGTAAAAAACTGTAAATTGCCCACAGATGTTCCGTCAACTCTTTCTCAATAACATTAAGAAATGGTATTTCCATGTCATTTCTGTAACCAGAGATCAGCTTGGACTGTCACTGCAATTAGATTTAAATGTTGAATATGAACTGGATCAGGCAAAGCATATGTCCTAGGAAGATTGGTTTACTCGTAGTGGAAAACTACATGGCAGAGAGAATTTCCATAACACTACACTTGTTCATTGTTTCAGTTGTACTTAAAGGAGACACAAAATATAGAATTTTTGCAGTTTAATATGCACACAGAGAGCATATAAGGTTCTTTTGGCAACACGAGCACCAAACAATAAACATATCACTTTTAACATTAATATAAAAAATATATACAGTTTTACATTTTACGAGGCTACATAAAATCACCTATCCGCGCAATCAAATATGGGGATTCAGTAACACCATATGACCATATTGTGTTACGCTCTATGCCATAGTACCCAAATATCGGGGGTCCTACACTAATCTTAACATAGGAAATTAACATGATAACTGTTACTTACTACTGAAGCTGCTTCCAAAGTCACTAGCATACCTCCCAGCAATAGGAGGTTGGAATCAGGATGGGATGGGCTGAGCCATGGTGTTGTCACTAATGAGGTGAAATTTTGCTTACCTGTTGTCCACTCCAAACGGGCATCTATAGAAAAGCGTTGAACATTATAGCAGCACCACTGCTTAGAAATGCATAGTCCAGGTGTGCTTCTATTTCCCTTTTTTGGAATCCACACCATATTCCTTTTGTGTTGAGGACCGCACCCATCCACTATAGATGCCCCTTTACAGTTTAGCACAGGAAAGTATAAATTTGAGGAGAGACTCTGGAAGCAGATTAAGCACTAAGTATTGCAGTTAGAATGTTAATCTCCCACGTTAAAATTAGTGTAGTTAGTTAGTTACATAGGTTAAAAAGAGACATGTGTCCATCAAGTTCAGCCTTCCTCACATTTATTTTTGCTGTTGATCCCAAAGAAGGCAAAAACAAACAGTTAGAAGACCTTCCAATTTTGCAATAAACTAGGAAAAAAAAAAATCCGCTTGACCCCAGAATGGCAGTCAGATTGTATCCTTGGATCAAAAAAGCTATTACCCTACATTGAAAAATTATATCCTTGAATATTCTGTTTTTGCAAGTATGTATCTAGTTGCTGTTTTTTTTTATTTTTTATAATTCTTTATTTTATTTGTGCATATGATTAACAGATGGGTTTGCTTTGCCACAACAACAGGAGCAAACTGAACGTTACACACGTAAGAACAATATTATGGCATTGTTAGATTATCAGGATAAACATAAATGTCTTAGCATAATGTAGTACAGGGTGGACAACAAGGTTAGGTGATAACTTGTCATGCCAGGTAAAATTCTCTTAATAATGCATATTGGCTGTTACTGTAATATTCTTTTTTTTTTTTTTTTGGTAAATAAGAGTTTTATTGAATTTTCACAAATGCGTAAGATATGACATTCAAGAACAAAGTGTATAAGCATTAGTGAACGATAATGTTTTTTTTTTTTAAAAAAGGAAGCTTGCAGGTCTCCCGACATTTGGTAATAATGTGGACCACGCAGGATTCCTCATCAATTTGCTTTTTACCCATCAAAGCAAGGTCATAGAAGGTATAGATTCTCCCATGAGAACTGTTTATTTTTTTATTTTATTTTTTTTTTTTTTTAGGGCTCCGGTTAGCGTCGGGGGTGTATTGGTCGAGCGGGTACTGTTCCGGGTTGTGAGGGTTGGGTGGTTTCTGGTATCGTGGTATAGTGTTCTTGGGTATTGGGCGTTTGGGTAATCTTGTCGGGTTGGTTCATCCCTTGTCCGGTGTGTGCTGGTCGTGGTGGGTCTTTTGTGGGTGCTGTGGTGTGTAGTCTGTCTCCTAAGGGAGGTGGCGTTTCTGCGAGTGTAGGTTGCATTCTCAAGTCAGCCTGTCAGCAGTGGGTCATGTATTTTAACGTGTGTTGTGGGGGGCGGGTGGGATGGGAATGTAGGTTAATGGGGTGAGGGCATTGCGGGTGAGGGTAGGGTGCGAGAGGGTAGGGGGTGGGGTGTCAGGTCCCGGGTCCCCACCCCAACCCGCCCCTGTGGCCCGGGGCATCTCCGGCTCCACATGGTCGTCTTGGTTTGGTTGGGTCGTTAGTCCAGCTTCCGCATTATCGCCAGTCGGTTCCGTCAGGACCGTCCCGTCTGCCTCCACTGCCAGGTGTTGTGTGGCCCCCGTAATTGGTGTGGTGGAGGCGAGCCATTGGAGCCAGTGGTACCACGCATCGTGGTAACGCTGTATGCGTCCCGCTGCGGAGTGGATGAGCTCCTCGATGCGTCTGATGTCTTCCACCCTTGTTATCCATTCCCTGATAGTCGGGGCCATGCGTTGTTTCCAGTGTCCCGGGATGAGGCTGCGGGCTGCGTTTATTAGGTGTGGGAGTGCCGTTTTTTTAAACCTGTTGATGGGGATCTGTGTAAGTTGGAGCAGGTATGTTTCTGGTGAGAGGGGCAGATTTGCTTCTGTTATGGTTGTGAGTATCTTGTGGATCTCTGCCCAAAAGGGCTGGATAAGGGGGCAGGACCACCATAGGTGGAAGAGGGATCCCAGTTCTCTCCCGCATCTCCAGCATTCCGGGTCATTTGTGGTTTTCATCATGCTAAGTTTTTCCGGTGTCCTGTACCAGTGGGAGAGCATTTTATATCCTGTTTCTTGGAATTTGGTGGAGATGGAGGCTTTATGTGTGAGTGTAAACACCGTTGTCCATTGTTCCGTTGAAATTGAGTGTCCTAGATCCCTTTCCCAGTATTTTGTGAAGTAAGGGAGGGGTGCGTTAGTGGTGGTGGTGGTTTGCATGCGATATAGTAGCGATATTGCGTGTGGGGGGGGGGGTTCATGCATATGGTTGCCGAATTTAGGGTCGGTATGCTTCTCAGAAACCTCGTCAGTTGGTGATATCTAAAGCGTAGGAGCATATTGTGTGGGGTATTCGGGACCAGGGTGGTCAGGGGCGTGATTGTGCCTTGGTCATAGACGTCCCTTGGTCATAGACGTCCTTCAGTCTGCAGGGGGTCGGCAGGCCTAGGGCAGCCGTGTAGTGGGGGTCTGATGCAGGGATAAATTTCGGGTTGTGAGATATTGGGCATAGTGGTGAGAGCTCCGGGGCTACGTCTGTGTGGGTCGCCAGTCTCCTCCAAACTGCCATTGTAGCGTTTAGGGTTGGGTGGTTCCGTGGCAGTTCCCCGGCCATGGATTTCGGCAGCCAGGGTAGCAGCGTCAGGGGTATCCGTGAGAAGCTGGCCTCTATGGGGATCCATAGCTTGTCTTTCGGGTCTTGTGTCCATTCGATCACTCGCTGGAGGTGTATAGCATGTCTATATTTCGTGATATCGGGTAGTCCCAAGCCTCCCTGTAGTTTGGGTCTGGTGAGGGTGGCGAAATTCAGCCTCGGCGTTTTGCGGGCCCAGACGTAGGCCATCAGTGTTTTACGGGTTTGTGTTAGGAAGGTTTTGGGAATATGGATTGGTAGGGTTTGTAGGAGATACAGGATTCGGGGGAGGAAATTCATTTTGAGGACACTGATCCTACCCAGCCACGTAATGTGCGGGAGTTGCCACGAGTCGAGGTCCTTCTGTATTCGGTCGAGGAGGGGTGGGAAGTTGATGCGGTAGGTGTCCGACACATCAGCCGACAACCAGATCCCTAAGTATTTAATCCTTTCTTTGCACCAGTGAAAAGGGAACTCTGTTTGCAGTGCAGTTGTCAGTGCTAGGGGGCAGTTTACGTTGAGAATTTCAGATTTCGTAAAGTTAATTTTCAAGTTGGAGAGGGTGCCGTATAGGTCGAATTGGTGCGTGAGCTCCCTAAGGGAGGTTGCCGGGTTGGTGATTGTGAAGAGGAGGTCGTCCGCGTATGCAGAGACCTTGGTGGCTCCCCAGCTACCCTCGATTCCAGTTATGCGGGGTTGGGCTCGAACTGCATTGAGGAATGGTTCCAGGCTGATGGCAAAGAGTAGGGGCGATAGGGGGCACCCTTGTCTAGTGCCGTTTCTGATCTCAAATGGGTCGGAGAGAATCCCATTAACCTGCACCCGGGCTGCTGGAGCGGTATATAGGACCAAGATGCGTGCCATCATGTGGGGTCCCAGTCCCAGGTGTTCCAGGGTGGACCTCAGGAAAGACCAATCGACACTGTCGAACGCCTTCTCCGCGTCGGTCGAGACTATCAGGGCGGGGGAGTGTCCTTCTCGGGCCGCGTGGAGAAGATTGAGTGTCTTGATAGTGTTGTCCCTGGCCTCCCGGCCCTCCACAAAGCCCACCTGGTCAGGGTGGATAAGGCTCGGTAGCAGGGGCTGGAAGCGCAGGGACAGTATTTTGGCAAACAGTTTGAGGTCGGAGTTCAACAGGGAAATCGGTCTGTAACTGGTACATGAGGAGGGGTCTTTTCCCTCTTTTGGGATTACCACGACATGTGCTAGGAGCATGTTGGGGTCTAAGGGGCCTCCGCTGTGTATTGAGTTGAATAGTGTAAGTAGGTGTGGGACAAGGTTGTCTGCGAACATTTTGTAGTACTTTGCCGTGTATCCATCTGGTCCGGGGCTTTTCCCCAGTTTGGCCAGTTTGATGGCTAGGCGTATCTCCGCTTCAGTGATATCTTCTTCTAGTGTAGCTATATCTTGGGGTGTCAGCGTTGTAGTGATATTCTGTTCGATATATGTTTTTTGCCGTGCTGTGTAAGCTTCCTCTCCTTCGTGTGTGCGTGTGGTGTTGGGAGGTAGGCAGTATAGGGAGGAGTAGTATTGTCTGAAGCCCTCTGCTATAGCCTTCGGGGTCTGCAGTGTGTTTCCTGCCAGGGAGATCCTTTGAACATGGTTTTTCTGTCTCCGGGCCCTCAGTGCCCTAGCGAGCAGTTTACCACTTTTGTTTCCGTATTCGTAGAACGTTTTTTGTTGGAACTGGAATTGTATTTTTGACGTTAGGCAGGAGTTGAGTTTCGCTCTGGTCTCTAGGAGTTGTTTGTAGGTTTCGTCTCGGAGGTCTTGTTTGTGAAGCGTTTCTAGACGCGCCAGTTGGGCAGCGAGGCGTGCTATTTCTTGTGTGCGTTGTTTTTTCAGGCGAGTGCCGTGTTTAATGAGGATCCCTCGGATAGCGCATTTGTGTGCTTCCCAGACGGTCGTTGGTGCGCTTTCTGTTGTTTGATTGGTGAGGAAGAAGTGATCTAGAGTGTTCCTAATTTCTGTTTGGATCAGTGGGTCCTCTAAGAGTGATTCATTAAGTTTCCATGTCCATTGGGATCGGAAGGTTCTAGGATTGTCGATGGTGAGTATTACTGGTGCGTGGTCCGACCAGGTCATGGGGGCGATGTGAGCTGAGCACAGTGTGTCTAGATCCCTGTGTTGGATGAAGAAGTAGTCAATCCTCGAGTAGGATTTATGTGGCGCTGAATAATAGGTGTAGTCTTTCTCTGCGTGGTGTAGGATTCGCCAGCAGTCTACGAGTTGGTGAGCTGTCAAAAGGGTCCGCAGTCCTCTGAGGACGTGGTCCGGGATCGTGGAGCTCCCTTTAGATGTGTCCATCTTGGGGTCTAGAGGGGCGTTGAGGTCCCCTCCTATTATGACGGTTCCTGCACTGAACGCCTCCAAGTTTCTCAGGGCTGAGGCTAGGAATGGTTTTTGGCCTTTGTTTGGGAGGTAAAGGTTCGCGAGTGTGATTTGAGCGTCACCTATGTGTCCTTTGAGAAAAAGGTATCTGCCTTCTCGGTCTTTCTCTTCTGCTTCCAGGCGGAACTGGGTGTCTGCCGAGAATAATATGGCCACCCCCTTGGATTTAGTGGAGGGGTTATGCGCATAGTAGCCAGTTGGGAAGTATTTGTTTGAGAATTTGGGGGCTTTTGTTGCTAGAAAGTGTGTTTCGTGGAAGAAAGCTATTGATATCTTGAGTGCTCGAATTTCTCGCAGCGCTCTTGCTCGTTTTTGTGGGGAGTTCAGGTCTAGTTGCTGTTTAAACATCTGTACAAACTCTGATAAAACCACTTCTTCAGGCAGAGAATTCCATATCCTTATTTTTCTTAAGTTAAAAAAACCTTTCCTTTGCCTTAGACAAAATCTTCTTTCTAAGCGCATGACCTTGTGTTCTATGTAAAGTCCTGTTTGTGAATAGATTTCCACACAATGGTTTGTATTGGCCCCAGATATATTTGTATCATGATATCATATCCCCTCTCAGGCAATGTTTTTCTAAACTAAAGAGATTTAAATTTGTTAACCTTTCTTCATAGCTAAAATGTTCCATTCCTTTTATTAATTTTGTAGCCTGCCTCTGCACTCTTTCCTGTGCCACAATATCCTTCTTTAGAACAGGTGCCCAAAATTGCACAGCATATTCAAGATGTGGTTTTACCATCTATTTATAAAGAGGCAAAATTATATTCTCATCCCGAGAATGAATGCCCTTTTTCATGCATGGCAATACCTTACTGGCCTTAGCCACTGCTGATTGACATTGCACATTGTTGCATGGTTTGTTGTCTATGCCAATTCCCAAGTCCTCCTCATGTGTTGTCATTCCATTAAGGGTATAAGTTGCTTGTGCATAACTTTGCATTTTTCTACATTAAATTTAATCTTCCATTTGAGTGCCCAGTCCCCCCGTCTATCTAAATTCCTCTGCAACAAAGTAATATCTTGCTCACATTTTATTGCTTTGCAGATTTTTGTGTCATCTGCAAACACTGAAACTTGACTTTTAATGCTTTTGTCAAGATCTTTTATAAACTTATTAAATAGAAGGGGTCCCAGAACAGAATCTTGAGGGACACCACTTGCCACCTCTGTCCAGCTTGAAAATTAACCATTAATGACAACTCTTTGTACTGTATTTTTAAGCCAATGTTCTACACAAGAACAAGAATTTTCATCCAATTTCCAATTTCTTTGAGTTTGAACACTAATCTATTGTGTGGAATGGTATCAAATGCCTTGGCAAAATCCAAATAGATCACATCCACTGCAACACCATGATCTATACTTCTACTTACGTCTTCGTGGAATGCAATCAAATTAGTTTGACATGACCTGTGCTTCATAAAACCATGCTGAGAACCACTTTCTTCTCAAGGAGTTATTGAATATTATCCCTTAATAACCTTTCAAATACTTCCCCAGCCACAGAAGTTAAGCTCACAGGTCTATAATTTCCAGGCAAGGATTTTGAACCATTTTTTTTCAATATAGGAACCACATCCGCCTTCCTCCAATCCTCCGGAACACTTCCTGAAAGAAAATAATCTTAAAAGATTAAAAACAGAGGTTCACTTATTTCCACACTTAGTTCCTTAAGTACTCGTGGATGAATACCGTCAGGCCCTGGAGCTTTGTTTATGTAAACTTTCTTTATTTGCTGCAGCACTTTGTCTTGAGTTAGCCAGTTACAATTTTTCTGCACGTTTTTTGCAGCAATCATTTGCATCTCTATTGTCATAGGTTCTTCCTTAATATATACAGACCCACTGATATTTGGGTACTATGACATAGTGGCGGGCTTAACACGATATTGCCATATGGAGTAACTGAATCCCCATAGGTGATTTTAAGTAGCCTTGTAAAATGTAAAACTGTATTTTTGTTTCTGTGTGCTGTTCCTTAATCTGTATAATGTTGAAATGCAAACCTAATTTTCTCTGAAAAGGCAGTGTTTACATTAAAATCCATGCAGAGGTATGCTATATTTACAACTGTAGCTGTAGTTTAGACATGTGCAATTCGTTTCGGTCCGAATTCGAATTCGGACGAATTTCGGGCAATTCGGACGTTCGGATACTTCCGAATGTCCGAATAGCTGAATTCCCGAAGTTCCAAAGTGCCGAACCGAATGGCCGAAGTCCCGAATTGCCGAAGTCCCGATTTCGGAATGCCGAACCGAACCGAAATTTTTACCCATGAACATCCCTACTGTAGTTGTGCTGATGACTACAGTGTCCCTTTAAGCTGTTTCAGAATTGAAGTTCTTCTGTCCCCTTCTCACCTGCATTAAAAATGCAGAGTTTTGTCCAACCTGGACAGCAGTCTTTGACTAAGAGTGTTGGGGGCAGGTAAGGACACACTTAAGCACTTTTACACTAATATAATTTAAATAGATAACTTACATATTGTCCACTGTACCCACAATGCCAGCTTTGAATATGCTAGAAGAACCACATAGATACCAGTGCTGTTTAGGAACACAATAGATTAAATTTAAACATGTCATCTATTATCATCACAACTGGTCTATAAAAAATGGTAAAGTAATCTTAAAGCCCCAAAATTGTCATTTAGTTTAGGGTTAGCAAAGCGATATTTGCATATTAATTTTGAGATGGTGTGATTAACAATTTAGAAACGGTTTGGTCAGAGGTTTATAGGATAAGTAGTTTATGCTCCAAGAGAAAGACAAACCATATGGCTGTTTAATTGACAGCCAGGTGGTGGAGCTCACACTCCAAATTAACGATCATTATGTCAGAAGATAATCAGCTGTGAAAAGATATTGTGCATAAATTGGTATTACTTAAAGAGACACTATAGGCACCCAAACCACTTCATCTCATGGAAGTGGTCTTGGTGCAGTGTCCCTGTCTCCTTAACTCTGCAAGTGAAAACATTGCAGTTTTCAGAGACTGCCACTAGACTGCCTCTAGTGGTTGTCTCGCAGACAGCTACTAAATGCGATTTGTGGCTTTATATGGAGTTTAACTCCGGCGTCTTAAAAATCCCCATAGGAAAGAATTTATACAATGCTTTCCTATGAAAAAGGCTTAATGCACCTACGGCATTCGCTGCACAGGCACATTAGGCTCCCCCATCGCTGACGTCAGAGGAAAAGGAGAGCGATCAAGCGCTGAAGGACCACCAGTATAATAACAGGTCGCATGCTGAATTGTTAATTACCACATTCAGGTGGCGTAACAAAACTGTTTTAGTGTATAGATCATGCCCCTGCAGTCACACTGCTCAATTCTGCCATTTAAGAGTTACATCACTTTGTTTCTGTTTATGCAGCCCTAACTACAACTTCCCTGGCTATGACTGACACAGCCTGCATGAAAAAAAGGTTTAATTTTCAATCTGTGGTACTTACTTTAAAGGTTTGCATCTTCTGCTCCGTAAATTAAACTCTAATTACATACAGGAGGCTCCTGTAGGGCCTAGCAAGCTATAAACAGAGCAGGATATAATAAATTATACATTAAACAGAATTTGCAATAAAGGAAGTATAAACATTAGATGACTCTTTACAGGATGTGTTTAGGAAGGCTGTGTAAGTCACATGCAGGGAGAAGTGCCTAGGGCTGCATAAACAAAGTGATTTAACTCCTAAATGGCAGAGAATTGAGCATTGATACTGCAGGGGCATAATCTATACACAAAAACTTCTTAATTAAGCAAACGTTATTTTGTGACTATAGTGTCCCTTTAAGACAGGTAACAGTGCACAGCTTCAGTTATAATAGGGTGTGGAACAATATGGTTTCTGAAATTGTCAGGTTACAGTTGATATGGAGAATAGAACCATAAGCAAAGGAGTACAAACACAAGAAAGCACCACTAAGTGTGTCCAAAAATGTCTTAACTGAAGCCAGTTTTGTATTCTTAACATTATAGTATTCCTTTAACACCCCAGTGAATAAAAATTACAAGTTATACTTATTGGTGTAACGTTCCTCCAATACATGTAGATAACAGACATCCCAAGTCTCCAGGTAGTTCCGTGAGACTCCCGCATTTTGAATGCGGCTCCCTGACACCCGCAATTCATATACAATATCCCGAAAAACACACACACAACCAGGGAGTCCTGATCCCTGGTGGTCCCAGGCGGCGAGTTTAAAAGGCAGAGTCTATCTCGATTGGCGGAGCCTAGCATGAGGGGTGTAACCTAGTGCTGCACTGCCCGCCGATGCTCCTCTCTATATAGAGTGCCTGGGCGCTGTGCACCCCATGTACCCACCCAGGATTGGCTCTGTGGGTATGAGTGGAAATGAGGCCATGGGCAGGGGTTTTCTGAGAAATTTTAGGTGACTTACTGATAACTATTTATGCAACTAAAAGTTAATTTAAAACAAGAACAATGTATCTTATTTACATTGATTTCTAAAGTCATTTATTGTAGTTTAAAATAGACACGTTTCTATGCTTTTAATTGCTGTAGAGCTCTGTTATTCACGCAGACGCACCAACAATATGGAACTCCCAGAGAAGGGGGACAGAGAGATTTGGGCCAAAAATAGGGACTTTCTAAATAGGGACACACCAGAGGTATGCTGTCTATATGCACCACACCTCTTGTGTGTCCTTCTTTAGGAAGTCCCTAAATAAATACTTGGGAGGCCAGTGCCCTCTCTTAATTGTCTTTAAAATGGAAAAGCAGTTTATGCCCCACTGAGGCACAACTATGGGACAAACCTAATTATACTTATAACGTTATGTCTGCACTCTAAGGGATCCCTGGGGTTGACTTGCTCAGCAATCCCCTTTAGATTCCTCATGTTTTTGTAAGTTATACCTTCATGTATTAGTTTGTGCTCATGCCTTAGTTGATGAAATGCACTTTTAGTCATACTTTGTATTATTTTAATGTCTTTTATTTATGTCTGCTCGCCCTGTGGGTAGCATGTTGTCTGATGTCTTGACAGACTGATCCATTTTTGTATTGCATCCGTAAAATTGAATAAAATTTGTTATTTTATAAAAAGAATAAAAGGTAAAAAAAACAAAACAACATTTCCATCTTTGTTTAAAACAAACAAACAAAAAACTGCTGGTAGTGTTTCTTTAAGTGGAAACTCAGTCAGTATCACAGAGGTCATTAGTACTGTGCACTGGAGGTAGGCCTGCCAGGCATCAGAGGCGATTTCGAGCTATGTGGCAATCAGTGAAGCACAATGTAATGCTGCTGAAATGTCAGAGGCGTCAGTTTTAATGTGATAATTTGTTTCATTACTAGGCTATTCATTCAGAACTTTCCAAACTGGTGAGGAGACAAAAAGGGCAGACTGAAAACATAAAATCCCCTATGAAACCTAAACCCAAAGCTCATCTAAAGCTTAGAGATGACTTAAATCCGCTTATTCGTCACAACACCAAGCAGAGGGTAAGTTCAATGTCTTTACTGCCTGGAGCCTCAATTTCGTTTTTTGTGTTTGATCAGCTCATGTTTGTTGCACTAAAATAATTCTAGTAAGAACTCTTTGGCGTCTCGACTAAGTTTTACTAATCAGTCTCCTGCAGCGTGTTTTCCATTACAAATAGATAGTCACAAATTACACTGAACAAAGTTATAAACGCAACACTTTTATTTTTGCCCCCATTTTTCATGAGCTGAACTCAAAGATCTAAGACTTTTTCTATGCGCACAAAAAGCTTATTTCTCTCAAATATTGTTCACAAATCTGTCTAAATCTGTGTTAGTGACCACTTCTCCTTTGCTGAGATAATCCATCCACCTCACAGGTGTGGCATATCAAGATGCTGATTAGACAGCATGATTAATGCACAGGTGTGCCTTAGGCTGGCCACAATAAAAGGCCGCTCCAAAATGTGCAGTTTTACTGTACTGGGGGATTCTGGGGCGAGGGGTCAGAAAACCAGTCAGTATCTGGTGTGACCACCATTTGCCTCACACAGTGCAACACATCTCCTACGCACAGAGTTGATCAGGTTGTTGATTGTGGCCTGTGGAATGTTGGTTCACTCCTCTTCAATGGCTGTGCGAAGTTGCTGGATATTGGTAGGACCTCAAACATGCTGTTGTATATGCCGATCCAGAGCATCCCAAACATGCTCAATGGGTGACGTGTCCGGTGAGTATGCTAGCCAGGGACGTATTAGCCGCGAGGCAAACAAGGCATTTGCCTTGCGCGGCATTTTTCAGGGGGCGGCAAAAAACGCTGCCCCCCAAATGCCCAGGGCAAATGCCTAGTTAGCCTTGCGGCTAACTGACATCCCGAGCGGGCGGGCGGCTGACGAGGGAGCTCTTCCTCTGAGCTGACTGCTCAGCTCCCTCGCGCGCCGCAAAGTGAGGCTGGGAGCCAGAAGATGACGTCATATTCCGGCTCCCAGCCTCACTCTGCGGGCGGCGCGCGAGGGAGCTGAGCAGTCAGCTCAGAGGAAGAGCTCCCTCGTCAGCCGCCCGCACAGCAGCCAGAGCCACCCAGCCCAACCGGCAGCCACTGGACCACCAGGGAGAAAGAGACCCTCCCCCCCCCAGCACTCCCAAAGGTAAGGAGGTTGGGGGGGGATTTAAATTTAAAAAAAAGTTAATGTGTGTGTGTGTCTGACTGTGTGTGTTTGTGTCTGACTGTGTGTGTTTGTGTCTGACTGTGTGTGTGTGTGTGTGTGTGTCTGACTGTGTGTGTGTGTGTCTGACTGTGTGTGTGTGTCTGACTGTGTGTGTGTGTTTGTGTCTGACTGTGTGTGTGTGTGTGTGTGTGTCTGACTGTGTGTGTGTTTTGTCTGACTGTGTGTGTTTGTGTGTGTGTGTGTTTGTGTCTGACTGTGTGTGTGTTTGTGTCTGACTGTGTGTGTGTTTGTGTGTGTGTGTGTTTGTGTCTGACTGTGTTTGTGTGTGTGTGTGTGTTTTGTGTCTGACTGTGTTTGTGTCTGACTGTGTGTGTTTGTGTCTCACTTTGTGTGTTTGTGTCTGACTGTGTGTGTTTGTGAGTGTGTGTGTGTGTGTTTGTGAGTGTGTGTGTTTGTGTCTGACTGTGTGTTTGTGAGTGTGTGTGTTTGTGTCTGACTGTGTGTGTCTGACTGTGTGTGTGTGTGTCTGACTGTGTGTGTGTGTGTCTGACTGTGTGTGTGTGTGTTTTTGTCTGACTGTGTGTGTTTTTGTCTGACTGTGTGTGTTTGTGTCTGACTGTGTGTGTGTGTGTTTGTGTCTGACTGTGTGTGTGTGTATTTAGAAGGTGGGGCGGGGGGGAAGGGTTGGGTGGGGGTGGCGCAGGGGTAGGGGGGCGCCTGAGTTTTGTCCTGCCTAGGGCAGCACAAAACCAGGATACACCACTGATGCTAGCCATGTCAGAACAGTGATGTTTTCAGCTTCCAGGAATTGTGTACATATCCTTGCAATATGGGGCCTTGCATTATCATGCTACAACATGAGGTGATGGTCGAGGATGAATGGCACAACAATGGGCCTCAGGATCTCGTCACGGTATCTCTGTGCATTCAAAATGCCATCAATAAAATGCACCTGTGTTCGTTGTCCATAACATACGCCTGCCCATACCATAACCTCACCACCACCATGGACCACTCGATCCACAACATTGACATCAGCAAACCGCTCACCCACACAATGTCATACACGCTGTCTACTGGGATTCATCCGTGAAAGAACACGTCTCCAAAGTCCCAGACGCCATCGAATGTGAGCATTTGCCCACTCAAGGCGGTTACGACAATGAAGTACACTCCGATCGAGACCCCGATGAGGTCGACGAGCATGCAGATAAGCTTCCTTAAGATGGCTTTTGACAGTTTGGGCAGAAATTATTTGGTTATGCCAACAGATTGTTGCAGCAGCTGTCTGGGTGGCTGGTCTCAAACGATCTTGGAGGTGAAGATGCTGGATGTGGAGGTCCTGGGCTGGTGTGGTTACATGTGGTCTGCGGTTGTGAGGCCGATTGGATGTACTGCCAAATTCTCTGAAACGCCTTTGGAGACTGCTTATGGTAGAGAAATGAACATTCACAGGCAACAGCTCTGGTGGACATTCCTGCAGTCAGTATGCCAATTGCACATTCCCTCAAAACTTGCGACATCTGTGGCATTGTGCTGTGTGATAAAGCTGCACACTTTAGAGTGGCCTTTTATTGTGGCCAGCCTAAGGCTTGGCAAAAGAGAAGTGCTCACTAACACAGATTTAGACAGATTTGTTAATAATATTTGAGAGAAATAGGCCCTTTGTGTACATAGAAAAAGTCCTAGATCTTTGAGTTCAGCTCATGAAAAATGGGGGCAAAAACAAAAGTGTTGCGTTTATAATTTTTAGTGTAAAAAAAATGGAAGGACATTTACTATTGTCTTTGGCAGATAAGAGGTTAAAAGTAAAGCCTCACATTTTTATTTTAACTTATATTTTATTATCTATATTGATAAATTAATAATTAGATCTATATTGATCTAATTCATATAAAAATAAGCTTATTAAAGGACCACTATAATGCCAGGAAAACATACTTGTTTTCCTGGTTGTATAGTGCCCTGAGGGTGCCCCCACCCTCAGGGTCCCCCTCCTGCCCGGCTCTGGGGAAAGGAAAGGGGCAAAACTTACCTTTTTTCCAGCACCGGGCAGGGAGCTCTTCTCCTCCTCTCCGCCTCCGATCCTCCCATTCGGCTGAATGCGCACTCGTGGCATGAGCTGCGCGCGCATTCAGCCGGTCTCATAGGAAAGCATTCATAATGCTTTCCAATGGACACTTGCGTGTTCTCACTGTGATTTTCACAGTGAGAAGCACGCAAGCGCCTCTAGCGGCTGTCAATGAGACAGCTGCTAGAGGATTTGGAGGATGGATTAACCCATTTATAAACATAGCAGTTTCTCTGAAACTGCTATGTTTATAAAAAAATGGGTTAATCCTAGAGGGACCTGGCACCCAGACCACTTCATTAAGCTGAAGTGGTCTGGGTGCCTAGAGTAGTCCTTTAATAATATTGGCTTTTATCCATTACAAGGTGCACCTTCTCAATGCAATGCAATTTTACACCCATACCTGACCTTAAAGACTTGAAAGAGGATAATACTTCTGATTCCTTGCCTCAACTAAAAGGAAAAGTAGTGTAGTAGGAACCAGTAGGAAGTTAAAAGTTAAAGCCCCTGCATTCCTGCCAGCGCCATCCAAACTCCACAGTCGCTACACCTGGCTGGGTGACAATCTGGACAGTGGCCTAGTATTGCGTGTCCTCCTCAGACCAGGTTTAGTACTTCTGAGATCTTCCGATCAGTCCAATGGTGGGTATTCCCTTAGTAGTGCTGGACCTTTACTTACATAACTCAATGCATACTCGTTTTCCTGGCACTATAGTGCCCTGAGGGTGCCCTGCTGCCCGGCTCTAGGGAGAGGAAAGGGGTTAAAACTTACCTTTTTCCAGCGCTGGGCGGGGAGCTCTCCTCTTCCGATCCTCCTCCGATCCTCCCATTTGGCTGAATGCGCACTCGCGGCATGAGCTGCGCGCGCATTCAGCCGGTCTCATAGGAAAGCATTCATAATGCTTTCCAATGGACGCTTGCGTATTCTCACTGTGATTTTCACAGCGAGAAGCACGCAAGCGCCTCTAGCGGCTGTCAATGAGACAGCTGCTAGAGGCTTTGGAGGAAGGATTAACCCATTTATAAACATCTATATTGATCTAATTCATATAAAAATAAGCTTATTAAAGGACCACTATAATGCCAGGAAAACATACTTGTTTTCCTGGTTGTATAGTGCCCTGAGGGTGCCCCGACCCTCAGGGACCCCCTCCCGCCGGGCTGGATGGTGAGGAAAGGGGTTAAACTTACCTTTATTCCAGCGCTGGGCGGGGAGCTCTCCTCCTCCTCTCCGCCTCCGATCCTCCTCTTCGGCTGAATGCGCATGCGCGGCAAGAGCTGCGTGCATTCAGCCAGACGCTGGCGCCTTCTCACTGTGTGTTTTTCACAGTGAGAAGCATGCAACCGCCTCTAGCGGCTGTCAATGAGACAGCCACTAGAGGCTTTACAGGCTGGATTAACCCATTTATAAACATAGCAGTTTCTCTGAAATTGCTATGTTTATTAAAAAAACGGTTAATCCTAGCTGGACCTGGCACCCAGACCACTTCATTAAGCTGAAGTGGTCTGGGTGCCTAGAGTGGTCCTTTAATGCACAATTTAACAAAGATATTTGATAAAAAGAAAGAACTTCAAAAATTTTATATTTTTTGTAGACAAAAAAGTCCACTCAGTTTTGACAGTATGTTTTATTAATACCTTATTAAGTAATAACAATCACCACATTTGTTTTGAAACTGTCACCAGCACTCTGAGCTTCTCATTGCTAGCCAAGAGTGGATGGCTAATGTGTTAGATCACTACTACATTAGCCGAGCCACAGCAGAGGGCAAAAAGAGCCCTGATTTTTCTCACATCATATGAAAATTGTTTGACATGAACCAAGAAGATAGCACCCAAAGACATTTTGCACTATAATCAATACAAAAAACTGTAGAGGTTATGGTGCTTAGTGAGTCCCTTTAAAGAAAAACTCTTGCACCATGACCACTAGTGGTCATTGTAAATAGCAAAACCATTTACCAACAGTTTTACTTCTTACCTGGTCGGGCATTGCTCCCTGTCTCTCAGAGAGCCAGAAGTTCACTTCCTAAGTTAAGCCTGGGTGGCGCAGGGTAACATACTGGAAGAGAAGGGGCAGGAAGTGGCGTCTTGCGGACCTCAAGCAAGAAATCAAACCATTAGAAAATAGTTTGACTACTAACGTTGGGGTGCACCATACCACTTCTGGCACCATAACCACTACAGCACTCTGTAGTGATAATAGTGCTTAAAGTGTTACTTTTAATAATTAATATTGCAACGGGAGGTGGGGTGGGGGTGATATATATATATATATATATATATATACACAAACTCCAACTCCCTATAGTACTGGTCAGTTGTGCCATGGCCCTATTAAGATATCTGTCACTGTAGTCCTGTTAAAGGGGGCCACTTCTCCTGATTTTTAATATTTGGTTTACCCATACCTATATTTAACAAGAATGTATTTATTAGGTGTAAAAATAAATGTAAATGTAGAAACCCACATCCTACACATGAATTGTTCTATCAACCATCGTTGTTCTTTGCACCTGGCAGTGAGTAGAGAGAGAGAGAACATACAGAGAAGAGGAGAAATAAAACTATTTCCTATTTATTTTCAGTGTGATTTTTGCTAAATCTTTTATATAAATGTAAACCAAAAACAGAGCCTCTCATGAAAATGAAAAGGTTCACACAAGTTATAGTTGGTAAACACTGTTTTATTTAGTGGTGGAAATTTAAGGGAATTTACAGAAAATTCCCATGTAGAATATTACATTATCTAAAGTGGCTGTTGTGGCTATGGTGCATAGAGTGCGCTTTCAAAACGCCATTATCCATAGCCTTAGCAACCCAGCAAGAGCAAGCAAGCATACTGGCAGTCTCTGACACTGGATACATACTTATATAGTTACATTTTCCCCAAATCTGAAAGATTCTATTTGTTCAGTTATTCAGTTTCTGCCTCCATTAGTGTGCACTCATTTACCTTCAATATGTTTCATCATCTTTTTTTCCCTTCAGGATGGTAACAAGATACTGGTGATTGGAGCGATGGTTGCTGCTCTATTAAGCCTACTGACAGCTTTCATCCTCATGCAAGCAAACTGAATGGATTTTATTATTTTTTCTTCAATATGGCGCCAACATATTCCACAGCGCTGAAAAATCTATGGACAATGCCTAATACAGTTGGATCTATTTTTCACTGTATTTTAATGAAATCAGTTTATTTCTTAAGTTGAGGTTTCCATATGTTTATCAGAAAAGTTCAGGTCAGACTTTGTGAACTGTAAGGTACAGTTACATGAGATTATCCCATAGGGTTATTCGTAAAAGTGAGAACTGTTGGGAAATCAAAGTGAAGGAGACCCTATAATCACCCAAAAAACTTTAGCTTAATGAAGCAGTTTTGGTATATAGATCACGCCCCTGCAGTCTCACTGCTCAATTTTCTGTCATTTAGGAGCTAAATCACTTTTTATGCAGCCCTAGTTCCACCTCCCTTCTTGTAACATGAACAGCCTTCCTAAACACTTCCTATAGGGAGATCTAATGTTTACACTTCCTTTATTGCACAGTCTGTTTAACCCATTAACCACAGAGGCAATTGTCCAAGTTCTGAACCAAAACAAAACCTGGAATTTGAGCTATATGTCTGTAAAACCATAATTTACCTCTTTCATATTAAGTGCACCCTCACTATCACTATCCTTTTGTTCAGGAGAAATAGTGAAATATAATTAATATGCATAAATTAAAAAAAAAGTGAGAAATAACTGTGTCATAATACTGTTGGCTTTTACTTCAATAAAATGCACACATTTGTATAAAGTGATATCCCACTAGTTCAATGATGCTCCCCGGGTACAGGTTTATTGGGGTTTTGGAAAGTTACAGGGTCAAATAAAGAGCTTGCCCATTTCAGTTTTTACTCGTTGTAATTTGCCTGATTGTTTTGCTGGGCCTATGTTGCCTTTGAGACCATATGGCAGCCCAGGAATAAAAATTCCCTCCCATCATGGCATACCATTTGCAAAAGTAAACAACACAGGGTATTCAAAATCAAGTCTTTTTTTAGTAGCCACTTAGTCACAAACCCTGCCCAAAGTTAGTGTTCATATTTTTCTTTTTTGCATTTTTCAAACAAAAAATCTGTTCAATTGATGATATAATAGTAATTATACATTTTACTGCTCTAAAACACTCGTACTTGTGAGACATTGTTGAACACAAATATAACAGTACCCCCCATGTACAGGTTTTATGGGATTTTAGAATGTTACAGGGTCAAATATGGGATTTGCAAAGTAATTCTCTGAAATTTCTGCTTGGGTTGTCAGGCAGGGCCCCCTATGTATAATTCACAAGATTAAAAAACTATAAATAAACTTAAAGGCGAACTTAAAACCCTTCTTTTGTTGTACATGAAATGGTTAATTTAGAATTCCTTTTTTTCTCCTGCACTGTTAATAACTTGCTATACATTGCAAGAGACTCCTGTGTGAGATTAAAGTTCAATTACAGAACAGGTGATAAATCCTTCTAAAGTAAGTTAACATCTGATTGAAAATTAAGCAATTTTTTTCATGCAGGCTGTGTGAGTCATAGCGAGGGAAGGTGTGGCTAGGGTTGCATAAACAGAAACAAAAGTGATTTAACGCTAAAGTTTAAACTAAAGTTGTTTTGGTGACTATAGTGTCCCTTTAAGGCAAAAATAGCTGAAGTTCTCAAAGTCAGCAAAGCTTCCAGTTCAGCTACTTTGGCCTTAAATATGAAATTAACTTTGAATTTCTGCCAATTCTCACTTTACTGAATAACTCTGGCAGTCTTCATGCCTAATGCATCTATAACATATTTATTTCTAATGAGATTTATAAATATTGGATAACTGAGTGAAGCACACAAATATTTATGAGATAGTAGAAATAATTTTATTTATAAATATTTTTTGTTTTATAAAGAATATTGTGTTTATATGCGAATAATGCCTCTTGCTTCAGTTTAGAATTGGAATAAATATTTTTCAAAAAGAGCCATTGGTGCAATGTTATTACCGTATGTGTGTATGTGTGTATATATATATATATATATATATATATATATATATATGTATATATATATATATATATATGTATATATATATATATATGTATGTCTGTGTATATATATATATATATATATATTTGAGAGAGATAATTAATATAAATCACATTTGCTTTTTAATTATGTTTATTAATATGATTTATGGGGAAAAAATCAATGTATAATATGAATATAGTAAAGGAAACTGTGAATTTAGAACTTATTTGGTTTGCCAAATATATAAGAAAACTAATTCAGAATATGTAAAAGGAGTGTGTTAAAAAGGCACAATAGCCACCAGAACAACTACAGCTTATTATATTTATTCTGGTGAGTATAATCAGTCCCTTCAGGCTTTTTGGAGTAAACACTGTCTTTAAAAAAAAAAAAAATATATATATATATTTTTTAATAATTTAAAAAAATGCACTGTTTACATTATGGCCTAGGGATACCTCCAGTGACCCCTCTAGTGACCACTCCTCAGATGGCTACCAGAGGTGCTTCCTGGGGAAGTGCTGTTCAGTGTGCAGTACTGCCATTCAATGTCTCCACCCTCTGCATGGAGACACTGAACTTCCCTCAGCATCTCTAGAGGGGATGCTGATAGGCCAGGATTGTGTTTTACTTGACCTGATCTTCCTCCTTGACCAGCTCAGTCAATCCAATGCTTTCCATTGGGAAAGAATTCTGGATTATTCTAGCTTCAGTGACTGAATAATCTAAATTTTATTAAAGACAGGAGGCGAATGTTTGCTTTAACCTTCTTTACTGAACCTCCCAGCAGCAAAGAAATATTTAAACATATAGATAAAAAAACAAATCAACCAATCAGGACACATCTTGGAACATATTAGTCTGTCAGGCTCCTCCCAACTCCTCTTTCTTGATGCAGCCGATCATAAGTGTAGTCAACCGTGTAAACTTGAGTGATCAACCATGGAAACCAGAACAGAACCGATACTGGAGACCAAAGGAACGTAGTCTTCGTGGGTCATGTAGACAAAACTTCACACTAAAAAGACAGAGAAATATCGTGAAAGTATTGTCACCTGGACTGGGTGTCCGCAAGATATCTACATACACCGATATACCCCATGGATATCACAAGTATAAAACTATGGTAAAATCTAAAAGCTAGAACCTGGTAGATTAAGAATCACCTAACCAGAGCAAACAGAAAACAGGCAGTTTAATATAAAGTCTTACGAGAAACCTAGAAAATAAGAATATTCTTGACCTGAAAGCAACTGGGATGGGAAACCAGTAGGGTGGGAAAATATTCGCCTCCTGTCTTTAATATCATTTAGATCATTCAGTCACTGAAGCTAGAATAATCCTGAATTTTATGACCAGACAGGAGTCTTCATATTTGCTGTTTTAAAGCGTGAAAAAAAACAAAGAAAAGGAAGCATGGGGCGATTGTCGGAAATAAAAGGTACGGAAGGTAGATTCTCTAGACCAATCAGCGGATAATAGGATGTCTGCAAGGGATCCCCCAGCCATAAAGCTGGAAGAGGCAGTTGCACCTCTGACTGGTTGAGCGCCAAAAGATGAATCTATGCCCGCTAAAACGAGAAGCCACTTAATCCAGTGGGCAATTGTGGGACAAGATACTGGTTTGTGTGGTCGCACATAAGAGATAAATAGGGGGCCCATAGGGGTATGTAGAGGTTACGTAGAGGAGACGTAGTGTTGAACACAACAAGCAACGCAATGAGATAGCTTGTAAGAGAAGTAAGAGTACGTAATTGTTAAGGAATTAGTTTTAGTGCAGCGAGAAATGTTGAAACGTACACCTTGGGGTGTGAAATCCATAGCATGGAAGTCAAATGCTTGAATATCGGACACACTTCTAAAAGACACTAAGCAGGGAAGAAGAGCTAACTTGGCCGACATATGTCGAAGAGAGAGTGCTTCGTTGGATGGCCAAGCCTCCAAGAAGGACAAAACAAGAGCAACATCCCAAAAATGAGAATATTTTTGGACAGGAGGTCGAGCAAGACTAATGCCATGCAACAGTCTACAGATAGAGGGATGTTTACCTACTGCAGCATTGTCAATGGGGCCATGAGCTGCTGAACTTGCTGAACGGAACACGTTAATAGATCTGTAGGATTTACCTTGATCAAAAAGAGATGACAGAAAATTCATAACGTTAATCAAAGAAGCTGAAACAGGATCAATACCCCTTTCCAAACACCAGCAATGCCAAACTCTCCAGGCCGAGAGGTAAGAGCGTCTAGTCCCAGGGGCCCATGAGTCCCATAAGAGATTTCTAGTAGTCTCCGAAATTCCTGCGACATTCCAGGATCCCCTGAAACAGTCCAGGCCACTAGATGGAGATAACCCTGCAAAGCAAGAGGGTGAGAGTTGCCTGCAGGATCTTTGAGAAATCGTGCGTGGCAGGAAGTAGTAGTGGATAATCCACTGACATCTCCAAGAGGTTGGGGAACCATGGCTGGGTACACCACAATTGAATCAGCAGTGTTATTGTGGTCCCCAGAGTCTTGAGATGATAGAGAGTGCACAGGATCATGGGGAACAGAGGGAAAGCATAAGCCCTGGTCATTGGCAAAGGTTGAAGGAAGGCGTCGACTGCCAGAGGTCGGATCTGGCAACCAACTGAAAAAAACATCTGTCTGACGATTCAGATGAGACGCAAATACGTCAAGGTGGAATGGACCCCGAAGAAGATGGAGACAGTAAAAACCGGGTAGGTCCAGTTACCAGTCGCTGGAGTCTCTCCAGTGTCGAGAGAATCAATCTGCGACTAGGTTGTCGGAACCAGGCAGATACTCTGTTCGAAGAGAGATGTTCCTGTCCAGACAGAATTGGTATAATTTTTTTGTGAGGTCTGAGAACATTTTGGAATGGGAACCCCTAAACGATTCACATATTGAACAGCTGAGATGTTGTCCATCAATATAAGAGAAGCATGAGGAAGTGCTTGTTGAATTTTGCCTTGGGCTCAAATTCCTGGTAAAAGGGGTTTCTGATCATTCCAATCTCATTTAATTTTGCTAGTTACAATCTCTTACCTTAATAATATTAAAAGCACACTATAGTCACCAGAACAACTGCAACTTATTGTATTTGTTCTGGTAAGTATAATCAATCCATTCAGGCTTTTAGCAATAAACACTGTCTTTTCAGAGAAAGGCAGTGTTCACATTATAGCCAAGGATACCTCCAGTGGCAACTCCTCAGATGGCTATTAGAGGTGCTAGCTGGGGCAATACTAGTGTTGTATGTGTGTGTGTGCTGCTTGTGTGCTGTGTGTGTGAGGGTGCTGTGTGTTTGTGATTTTGCTGTTAGTGTGCTGTGTGTTTGTAAAGGTGCTGTGTGTGTGTGTGTTTGTGAGGGTGCTGTTAGTGTACTGTGTGTGTGAGGGTGCTGTGTGTGGGTGCTTTATGTGTGTGTGTGCTGTATGTTTGGAGTGATTGTGGGGGTGGAGGTGGGGGCAGATTAGTAAACATCCCCCCTCCCTTCTTACCTTATGTAGGGAGGGGGGATCCTTGCTGCCATGTACCATCCCTGGTGGTCCAGTGGAGAGTGAACTCTAGCCTATGTGGCTAGAATTCACTCTCGTGAGAGGAACCCAGGTTTGCTGCTGGGTTCTCCACGGGTCCTCTCCTGCCTCCCTCTATGATGCTGTGGGCCAGTGAGGGAGATCTTTGAGCTCCACACCGGCCTATGGAGGCTTGGAGCAGAGCTGGCGCTCTGATAGTGCCTCCCCTGCATGAGCCGACAGGGGAGATCCTGAGATCTCCCCTGCCAGTCTCAATCCATAGGCGTGCCGCGGGGATTAGGGTGTGCCCAGGCATACCCGGCACACCCCGTGTGCACGCCTATGCTCCTTATGCTAAAGTGTTCCTTTAAGATGGAGGTGACCAGTTAAAATATAAAGAGGTGTGGTATTCTACATTTAATGTTATTTTTCACATGTCCCAAATACATATTTGTTAAATATAGGTAAACTTAATATGCCATATGTACATATAATATGATCACGTGCTATAATAAAATATAAAGTGTGTGTAATACTAATGGCAATGTGTGCACTATAAATAAACAAACAGCCACTAGAGGGTGCTACATCCCAGAGAATACTACATGATAACTCTTGACTTACAAACCATATTCTCCTCTGTAAAATTTCTCTAGGTGCAAGTGACAGAGCTTATAACAACGACCGGCTGGAAGCTAGGATGGAGCTGTCATGTTGCAGGATAAAGAGATGTTGATTTATACATTTAATTTTAAATGGAATTCCACACAAATACATAATTCTTAAATATAAGTGACCATTGCTCTTTAAAGGCAGAAAAAAACAAAAGCCATGGCATGACCAGCTTCTGTTATGAAAGGAAGGCACTTTCTCTTATCAATGTCACTAGCAATCCATTCTGTTTTCTGTCCAGTCAGATCTGTTAAAGGACCACTTTAGGCACCCAGACCACTTCAGCTTAATGAAGTGGTCTGGGTGCCAGGTCCAGCTAGGGTTAATCCATTTTTTTTATAAACATAGCAGTTTCAGAGAAACTGCTATGTTTATAAATGGGTTAATCCTTCCTCCAAAGCCTCTAGCACCTGTCTCATTGACAGCCGCTAGAGGCACTTGCGTGCTTCTCACTGTGAAAATCACAGTGAGAATACGCAAGCGTCCATTGGAAAGCATTATGAATGCTTTCCTATGAGACCGGCTGAATGCACGCGCAGCTCATGCCACGAGTGCGCATTCAGCCGAATGGGAGGATCGGAGGAGGATCGGAAGAGGAGAGCTCCCCGCCCAGCGCTGGAAAAAGGTAAGTTTTAACCCCTTTCCTCTCCCTAGAGCCGGGCAGCAGGGGGACCCTGAGGGTTGGGGGCACCCTCAGGGCACTATAGTGCCAGGAAAACGAG